CATCACAACCTAATGACTAATCACAACTCTACCGTCATGATCACTCGCCCCTCATCTGAAGCTGATCCGCCGTGCGCTGTGCTGTATCGAGCATTGCCGGAACCACGTCTCAGCCAAGCCCCAGGCAAAGCAGGCGTCATCGTGTTTTACGCAGCATCTCTGGTACCTCAGAGACCGCTCCGTTGCCAGCAAAACCGCGTGGCGCTTCTGCATGCTTCTAAGCTGAGATCACGGCGACAAGGACCTCGGGGCAGCCAAACAGCGCCATCCACTGCTAGTTTGCGGGGCAGGGTCTAACATGGAACTTTGCTGTTTGCTGTCCCCTTGATCAGTTCAAGCCGCCCACCCAAACGAGAGTGGCTAGCGTCTGTGTTTCGCTCGCTGCACGCATCCCACATCACACCAGGCATGTTTTGTCAGGCTCAGCTTGCCTTTTGCCAACTTTCACCAGTCCTACGTTCGGCGCCTCTAAAAGCGCGCAATTGCAGTTTTACATCTTGACGCCGAGCTGTTCCTGTTAAAAAGAGACCTCGTGATGGCGCAGCATCATGCCCAGCCCCTTGCCGCCCGCAATGGCAAGGCACTGGGCATGTTCTTCGCCATCTTGTTCGGGGATCCGAAGGTTGCCAGTTTGTAAACACTTCGGCCAAGTTTGATAGGCTTCTCTTTGGTAGAATCATGTTTGAACGACCGGATTATAAAGTGCCTGGAGGGATGCTGGCGGTCCTGGCTTCCCGCTAATCCCTGCTCGCCAGCATGCAGGCAAGCCGCTCGCATTTTCCAGTATTTCCACTTTTGCTTGAAGACGTCACATTTGTCGGGACAATTCAAGGGGAGATTGCTTCAATTGCGATGAGTGATGCTGGAGGAAAACCAAAGCCATCCTATGCGCTTCGTTTGGTGGGACAACGCTTGGTGCCCTAAATGGAGCCACCCCATTTTGATGGTAGGTGTCCTTTTGGCTAATCGTGATATACTTTGGCCCCCAATCTAGGGAACCATGCGTGCCAATTGGGAAAACTCGTGCGGGTAATGGCCAGGCTTGTTGATGGGCCCGACCAACGCCCGTTCAAGCAATGTGCCAGACAAAGGGAGCGGGAACAAAATCCAACATGGTGGCTTTTGTTTTGGCTCCCTTCACAGAAGAACAAGATACCCGCGAAAAACCCACACGTTTAAAAAAAAAATCACCTGAGCAGCCTGGCCCCTCGAAGCACCGCGAGGCAAAAGAACCCCTTCCTGCCACCTCACCCAGGGAGCGCCGCCTTGGGGTACGTGGCTCAACAACAAAAAACGCTCGTGGGTGTCCCTTTCCCTTTGTTGAGCTCCCCGCCACTTGGTGGTTTGAATTCCTGGTTTGGAGCTTAGGGGATGGTTTCAGATGTACGGCCAGGGGTTCAAATCCCGAAACCACCAATCCCAACCACCAACTAAGAGGCACCTGACTTGTGAAGCAACCCAAGGAAGCTCCAGTGATATCCCCTAACGTATTTTGGGAACCCTTGCCTGCAGCTTCGAATTGCTCTGAATACTGGAGCTCCAAACCTTCTGGAACCTTCGGAAAATTAGGGAGGCCCCGGAACCCTATCCAGCAACCGCTCCATGAAATCTGGCACCCTCCAGAACCCACCTCAGAGTCCGGAGCTTATATGGGGAGAGACCACACATCAGTTGCAGCTGTTGAGAAAACTGTAGGCCGAGTGCAAGCTTAGCCCATGTCCATCGTAGGTGTCCTGTTCAAGTGGAATTCCGGGGTCACCACCCTCCCCAATTCCACGAGTTCTGGAATGGGCATGGTCCTTCTTGAAGCGACCAATTCCCTGTCAAATGCCATGTTAATGGGAGGGAGCAATAGGGAGAGTACTCGCCTTCCAACAATCATGGAAGTGGACATGAGGCCTTTACAAGATGAAGGTAGTTTTCCAACATCCTCCTGTTCCATCGTTGAAAAAGCGGTATTTGAATATGCGACCCTGTTTTGCGGTTGCCCAAACCGAGAACTCGTTTCTGCGACTCAGCCGCGCGCATAAGCTTTGCGGGCTCCGCGCATGGCGGGCGACCGCCAAGTTGGCGGCTGAGTAACCAACCAGCTGGGATTGTCAAAATCAGCTTTCCTCTAATTGGTGTTTTGGATTGGTGATTTGGTGGTGGAGGAGGGGTTTCCCATTAACCTTCTACAAAATCCAGGGGTTCAAGTCCCAAACCACCAATCCCAACCACCAACTAAGGGTTCCCTGAATAACGACGTTTGCATTCTGTTGAAAGAAAACCAAAAAAAAAGAGGATGCCCGGAAAAGAGACATACCCGCTGGAGCTGTTGTTGTGGCCAAGTTGTGGCCAGCAGGCGGTGCTTGGAAACTTTGCTTGCTCGTTTGCCCGAAGATTTGCGGAAACATCCCCAATCCTCCCCAGCCTTTTTGCTCGTTCTGAAAAGCAAGGAAGAAATCAACGGTCTGCTCGTTTTGATCTGCTCCGCTTCCACTTGCTCATAGCTCTGCTTTTGCATCATGAATGCCGCGCTTCAGCTAGCTCTTGCATCGATCCTTCGGCTTCGCCTTGCCGGTCTGAGCCAAAGTTTGCCGCGGCGCAACTGGGCCAAGACCCGTGCGGCGACTGGAGCCTGAGCCAAGCCGCGAGCATCCGCGAGCCTTTCCCAGACAGGCCCCTGTCAAGCCCACCCCGGTTTTTCCTGCTTGCACATGTCGGAAGCAACATGCCTTAGGTGGCGATCGATCGCCTCATGCGCACCTTGCACAAGTTGTGACAAGGCAATCACCTTCATCTAAATTCACAAATTAAGATGAGTCACCTCTCATTCAACTCCTTTCCGTGCTCGGCAATTGCCGCTGCGGTGGTTTTTTTCAACGGGGCTCCTGCGGGCAAAAAGGCAGGCCTCCATACAAACTGAAACAACTGCGCCTTGGATGTCTCACCTCTCCAAAGGCTTCGGATTGGGTTGATGCGTCAGACGATTGTGGCTGCCTGACGGCTGACAGTGGAACAGGTACGGAACAGGCTTGACCAACTTCTGCAACACATTGCTGCAGCCAACGTTTGGCCTCCACTTCGGTCTAAAATCCAAGTTCTGCATATCACGCACTGGAGTTGCTCAGTGACAGATGGGTTGATCCAATTGCCCGGCCCCAAAGTCGCGAAATTCAAGGGGGTGTGGGGCCCAGAATCCACAAGGCACAAGTAGGCGTCCACTTCACCGTCCAAAGCAACATCTTCAAAACCCGAGCGAAACAGTGACTCAAGAGGACTCAAAAGTACTGCTCAGAATCCCGATCACTGTAGTATAGTGAACCCGCAGCAAACACCTGTGATGGCACATGATTCTCTCTCTCTCTCTCCCTCTGTCTGCCGTTAACGTCCAGAGGGTCTTGACTCACTTAGGCAACGAAAAAGGCACCCACTGATGATACGAGGGGCACGCGCAACAAACAAGAACAGCCCTTGCAGACATCAAGTAGGAGCCACAAGGATATGATTGGATACCTGAGATCACCAGTTGGGATAGCAGAGCGCCAAGCGCAGGAGAAACACCTTGAAGAGGTTCACTGCCAGGGGGACAGAACGTGTTTCAAAACGAAAAAGCCCTGCAGTCGCCCTGATTCAAGTCCTGATGCTTTCTTTGAACAAACTTGACCATGCAGGGGCTCAGGCCACTTTTGCCAGGCTGCTGTACATGTACCTGCCCTAACAAGAGCTAACATGAAATGCTGCGCTACTGTGCCCCCCAATCTCGAATCTCGACCTCTTGGCAGATGGTTTTCAAGGATGAAATGGAAAGACGAAATATTTCTTGTCCGCGCCACGTCCGGGACCAGACCCCAGCCAGCGAGCCAAACACGCAACGCGCCTCTCGTCCCTAAGGCCCTGCCTCGGGCCACGCAGGCAGGGTTTCGGGATGCATCCTCAAAAATGACCTGCAAGAACGGCGGGGGCCCCGCGGGGGTCAACTCCAAATATCTCTAAATCAGCTGGTATTTTGGGTGCTGCTCGATTCCAACAAATCCGCATGAATTGGAGCGAATGTCTGTTCGGAACGGGAAAGCTGCTTGAAACCTTGTGTTTTTTTTTGGCCGGGACTGCACCCCAAAACAAGGACTCCACCGCGCCGATGCCGCAGGCCACCCCACGCACACACGCGCGCACACACACACACCCCTGAGAAAAATCCGCAGATCGGCCGCCGACTTCACCGATGGCGCATACAGCCATACAGCTATGTAAACGACGTGGGGTTTGAAGAAAGTGGACACCGTATCACCGCAAGCTTTACATTTCTAATCATGGTACAGTAATGCCCAAACTTGAGATGGGGGGGTCTTTTTTGAGGCTACTTTCCCCCATTTGAGGCTACTTTTTTTGAGGCTACTGCTCCCCTAAAAGAATTGCCGAATAGGCGAGATCCGAGGCCACGGTTGAGTCCTGTCCAAAAATCCCGTAACAGGACGCCCCTGCTTGGAGAAGCTGCGAAACGGCGACATTGGGAACAACGCGGGAGTGCCATTTTCAGGGGAACCCCCTTGTGCTTGGATTTCGATGGGAAACCAAACGGAAACTAACCATTTGTTGGGCCCCAGACTTTCTATGTAGCGCCAACGAGCCGATAAGCCGGTCGGCCGTTGCGCACCTCGCTAGCCAAAGGACAAAGGCACACGGACCTTACCGGGATATCGGGGTAGCGTGCGCCAATGCGCGAGCAGACTATCGGCTTCTCTGTTGTAAAGGGAAACCAGAAGGAAACCACAATTTCGGGGGCCCGGGGTCCGCCAACAAATGACACACCCGTGTCACTTGAGAAAACAAAGGTTGGTGCCAAGAAGTCGGGCAAAAGCCAACCCTGCAGGCAACCACTTGTACGTCGTCAGACTGACGCTGCTTTCCGACGGACCTGTTTTCAATCCCAGGCCAGACTGGACGACAGGAGTTCGCAAGTAAACAGGCTTTGGCCGCAAGTCTGCACAAGACAACTGTTTCACAGCAGCGTGAGACTAAGACACACTATACGCAATCAAATATTCTGCGTAGATCCGTTCATCTTTGAACTGCATGAACTCCCGAAAGCGCTCGTGCCCCGGACCACTTTCCCCGATCAAGGCGTGGTACTTCTCTGAAGAGCCCTCGGGACAGCCCTTCACTTGCGCCAACTCTGTTCGGGTCTCGGTCAACCAAACCGGGCCCCCATCCACCATCAGGGCGTCGCGCTTACCATCCTGAGGTCGCAACCCTATCTGTGATGCCAAAGTGGGATTTGCAAGCTTAGACTTATGGGGTTCCCCTAATATCACGGAAAGTCGCACCGAGAAAAAACAAGAAGAAGAACAAAAAAAACACTCTCCTGAGTCATGGCAAAATAGCCCATGATCACTCGGCAAGCCAGGATGTAGTGAACATACACAGGCTCAGTGCCGCTGCCGGGATGAGCATCGCGGTTCTCATAGAGGTGCCTATGTAAGGCCGGCACCTGGCCACAACTCCAACGAAATCCGGGGCATGGTCATGACCCCCTTACATTGGCGTCTGTGAAAAAGTATAGGTTGACGACCATGCCTACTCCCCTTTCAATTTAAATGGAACAAACAAGTAAGAGCATTAAAGGAAACCCTTTTGGGTGAGGTTCCTTCCATAGACTTGCCTGGGGAGATTGTTGAGTTTCGACCACGGCCTGGTTGAAGTATTCATCTTTCGTGTGCGCTGCATACTGGTGGCACTTTGCTGCGTCCTCACGCCGCTTTTGGCTCCCATCCCCAGAGCCCCTATAAATCCAACAGCCACACGATTTGCAAGACTTTGCAGTGGGCTCCTATAAGCCAGCCACCTGGGAGATTCTTGAACTGACATCCTTTGAAAGATCTCGATCCCTGTGACTCGTGCCATTTTAAAGCAAATTCTTCTAGTATGGCAGACAAAGGCAGCCTCAAACCTGGCTTTCAAGCCCGGCGTCCTCTGCGAAATAAACACCAAGGCCGAACAAACCTCCAGTGCAATGGCTTTTGCTCGGCCCCGAGGTGATGATGCTTAGCAGCGACTTCCCAACATCTCTGACACCATGCAACCTGGGCCACACGGACAAAACCTGCACAAAATTCTAGCCCGTTGATAAGGTGATAAGTGGAATGGACACGTTGGAAAACTACAAGGAAGCAAAGAGGTTGAAAGGGCAAGCTAAGTCCAAAAGGGCAAACAGTTGAAAAGTAAGCCTTCGGTCCGACAATGCAACAAGTACACTTCGTTGATCGATGCGTCCAGGCGGGCGGAATGCAACTCGCCCGTGGCTTCCGTGAGTCTGCTCAGGATCCGGGGGTCTGCAAGGCTTTTGCCGTACCTTCGCTGAGCTGCTCTCAGCGGGGAACATTCATTGACTCATGGTTTGGGGCTACCTGGTGGTACCCTTCAAGTAGAGGGCCACCCCAGGAAACCACCCATTCAGCACGCAATTGAACCACCTTCTTTCCCACAACCTGTGGATTCCTTGTTGGGAATTGCGAGTTCGAGCGTAAAGGATGCTTAAAGAGTGCTAAACTGGCGGAAACCGAGGCTGGAGCTTAGGGGACTGCCTTGGGGACAGCCTTGAGGTCTTGGGAATGAACCCAGGGGGCTCCCAGGAAGCCATTCCTCGCTCCAAAAACCAGCGCACCTCGAACTTGGGATCTGTTGGGAAGCCCCTGTCAACCCACATCAAAAAGTCCATCCAAGCGTATGGCCAACAAGTGTACATCTGGGAAGCACCCAGCTCCGAATCCAACAAAAACAAAACCGAACGAAAAAAGTGCGCCCAAGACGCCTCTTCAGGGAGTCCACGCTGGCGCGCACGGCGTCCTGTTCCGCACGGTACTTGGCGAACAGCAGCGGGTTCTCGATGCGCCAAGCTCTCCGCACCTGGAGGCGGCCTGGGACGGCCGGCAGAAAGGGGCGCCTCTCCTTTTCGGAACCACCGCTGTGCGGCTGTCCTTTTAGAGGGAGGCAAAGGAAGCCAAAGGAAAGCAACGATCTGTTGAGGCTTGCCTCCAATGATTTCCTTGTTTTTTTGGGACCGCCCCACATCCTGGGGCCTCGCTTGGTGGCCAGGGCTTCACAAAGCGACGGCTTTTTACAGGTTTATCGCGTGCACTCCCGAAACAGCCGGGTAGGGTGGGGTGTCATGGTGCCATGACCGGACGGCATTTTTTTGGGGCCGGAACTTCACATTTTGCGGGCTAGCAGGAAACGCAGTTAAAGAGCGAAGATCCAACCAAAACAAAGCTCAGGTCACCTTACCTTTCTATGGCGCTTTGGAGGTTCAAGCCCCCCCCCCCCCCGCGTTTGGTTGCAACAACAACCAGGCCCACCGTGGCTTCCCTGGTCGGAGTGGTGCGCCACTACGGCTTGCGGACCGAGGATCCCCCCCACATTTTGAGCAACCCGCGTTGGTTGTAGAATTGGTTTACCAGCAAACAACTCAAACACATCAAGCAATCTGAAAGAGGGCCCCTGCTGGAGGCTTTCAGAGGAGCCTTTTTAGGCTCCTTGGTTTTTTGGGGGGAGGGTGAGCAGCAGGATGCTCGAGCGCTCTCAAAATAAATTAGGTTGGCCCCATGCATTTGTGCCAGTTGATCAATTTTCCTGTTTCCGGCAAACGCCATCTTCGCGAGAAATAAGGTTTCTTTCGCGAATCTTTCGCGACGCCCTTTTGTTTGCAGCGTGCGCTCTGGAGCCATTGTGGCTGCTGCAGTTATGCTTGCAAACACGGTAGCCGTCATTCGCCCTTGCCACTTGCGCTTGCCGGCGATGTGCGGAACCTTGCAACAAGCTCCCTGGCCTTTCGCCGGTCTTTCGCGAAACTTGCTCCAAAATAGCCCAGCCAACGTTATTGATTTGCACCAATCCCAACACAGGCAGGGAATCAAGTGTAGGTGCTGCGTATCTCCCTATCTACAAGGGAGCGGGGTCTGCAAATACGTAAGTGCACAGGCATGCCTCCAAGAATTCAACGCGGAATCTTTCGCGGAGGGATTTAAGCCAAGACGAATGGTCACCGAATACATAACTCCTTGCAAGGACCTTTTGATCAACCCCCATGTGTTCTTTTTAGTCTGTGCCAAAGGGTCGTGGCTTCCCCTTGCGGGTTCGTTCGGGGCATTGGGCGGGGGGGGGGGAATTTTTGAACACCGATTACGGGCACGATTATGAAGTGAATGGGCCCCAAACCCACACACAAGCGGCTGATGGACAAAGCTAGTCTCACCTTACTATTACTGCCTGGTCGTTGGGATCTGAACATGGATTCTGCAACCAACCCGGCCTGCTTTCTTCTCCCCTCCATCCCTCCCTCCCAGGATGTGGTGCGTCACCAAGGCATCCTGCAGCGCTTTAAAGGCCTGGTCGCCCTCCTCAATCCTGGGCCAGACTTTGTTAGAGGCCCCCTCGAGTCTTTGCTGGGTGGAAGATGGAGGAGGTCCAACAAGTCCAAAGAAAAAGGGGGCCAAAAGATTCCGACAGGGATCTTGCAGACCTTCAGCTCCTTGCTGGAGTCTTTGGACCAATAAGTTGGCTTGCTGTTCCGGTGCAAGGCTGCTTCCCTCTCTTCAGCAATGTGGGTCAGAAAAACGGGGTCTTCTGCGATGTGCTTCGCCTCTGGTCTGGCACTCGCAACCTGCTGCGTCATGCGATCTGCCAAGGCGTCCAGCTTCTCGAAAGTCTCACGGGGTCTGTCATCCATCAAGCTGCCATGCTTTTTGCCCTTATGATCCCGGCAGCGACTGAGCGCTTGTCTGAAAGTCCTCAGAAGCTCAGCAGCCGCGAGAAAAGAGAGCACTTTTTTTCTGGCTGGGTTTGAAGAAACAACGGAAAAAATGGTGTCACTGCGCAACTAGGAGTCATACCCAACGAATACATGTCCGCCTTGGAAGTGGCTTTCTTGCTGGCATCGCGCGCGCCTTCCTTGCACAGCTCCGGCGCCAGGAAGTCCAGAGTGCCGCCCAGAGCCGCGACCGTCGTGGTCTGCCCGCTTGTGATCGTTGCATCAATCAACAGCTCAAAGTCAGTGAGCATTGGCTGAAATTCTTCAGAGCAAAGGATGTTGGATGGCTTGATGTCGCCATGAGTGGCCTTTTCGCCATGCAAGTACGCCAGCGCGCAAGCGCTCCCTTGCAGCAAAGACAGCAACCGGAAAAGTGTCAGTTCCTCTATAGGGACGTCATCCAGTGTGCCCTTGGCAAGCGGAAAATGCAAGTAGCCAAAAACACGTTCAAGTGTTTTGCCTGTCCCATCCGTGTCGATGAACGCAGCCTGAAGCGAAACCAGGAAAGGATGCCGGTACCTGGTATGTGTCACAGCGAGCTTCCAGAACTGCTTCGTGCCCTTCGCGCTGCTCAGATCGATTTGCTTCAGGACGCAACTCTCGCGGACGTGCTCGGCTTTGAAGACTTTGTGCCTTGATTGCTCAAAGGCCTCTCCAATTGTGTAGTCCGAAATCTTGCGGCACACCAGCACGGATTGCAGGAACGAAGCATCCCTGTAGCCTGGGCTGTAGTCTGACCGGCCTTGATCAAGGGTGGTGTTTGCGATGCACAACTCGATGACTTTGGGCACCCATTCTGGACAATGCAGCTGGCTGAGTTGCAAGAGGTTTTGCATGCCCTGCCAGGACGCTCTTTGCTTCTCCTGCAGCTTCCTCTTCCTGACGTCGATGTCTGAATTTCTCCAAAGCCTGCCAACTGCCGTCTCCAACCAGCCCACGCGGTCGTCGGAGTACAATTCCTTGGCCTCCTGCATAAGCTGCGCCTTCTTAAGCTTCTTGGATTCCTGCAAGATCTGGGCGCGGTGCTGTTTGGCTTCCTCGAAGCCTCGTTGCAACTGCTGTGGTGCCTCTTGGGCCTGACGCATCTGCTTCTGCAACTTGTGGATCATCCCCAGCCTGTCAGGGGTCGCAGTCCCATCCTCAATTCTTGGAGCCTACTGGATTCCCCAAACCGACAGTTTTTTTGTTGCTCAGTTTTCTGGCGGCTTCCAACCAAGCTGCCACTTTTAGAGATCCGAAAAGGGAACCTGAGGAACGTGCCTGTCCCTGTACGCGCCCAAACACTCGGCCGTGGCAGCCGCCAGGCGGTGCTCTTCAAACCCTGCATCCTAGGCCATAGATTTCCTAGACTCCCCCCAAATTTATATATATATATATAATAATATATATGTATAATACTTGTGCTGGCTTGGCAAAAAAAGAGTCCCTTGCTGGTTAAATGGGAAAATTGGGGAAACCGTGCAAACGGCGAAGGGTGAAAACCATAATTCAAAGCCACAGCAAGGGGAGCCATTGCAGCCTAATAGTGACCATTACATCTTGCAATTGAATGTCAATAATCAAATCAGCCCCTTCACCAAAAACAATAATCCCGATCAAACTTACTATTACGATCGCAGACGTATTATGTTGTTTATCCGATCAGCACATAATATACTATGCAAGGACCTTAGCATCATGATGTTCCCGCGGCTCCCCTTCTGGCGCTGAATGAATTTGAAGGATTATGGGCCATGCATCGATCATGGAGCGGCTGGGAAAGCATTTCTCGATGCTCAGCTGCTCCCAGTACTCCTTCTCCTGGCAAACCGCCTGCAGCAGATCGCTCATCGCCTGAGGACCCCTACCCTTTCCCATTGACGATTTAGAGGAAACGGCCCAAAAGGGGACGCCCGTTGAAATTTACGTTGTCTTGGCCGTGCAAAGCCAGCAAAGAGACATGTACGGAAAAAAGATGATGTTCAAAGCCAGCAAAGAGACATGTGCAGCGTAACTTTCCACCAGATATGCCGCTACGCGACATCCGTGGCCCCCTCTCCCCAAATTCTGTTGAACTTGCAAAAACAAGATTGGGCCTCGACTTAACGTCTGCGTGCAACATTGAAAGGGGGCATGGATTTGTGTTGTCGACGTTGCGGAACTTGCAATATTCAGGGCTGGAAGGAAACCCAAAACCGCAAAGAGGATGTTTGAAACCGGCAAAAGTGGAAATATGACCCAAAAGGTGATGCTTCAAACCAGCAAAGGGGGGGGGAGAACATGGGAACCCAACCCCAAAAACATTGAAATCCAGGTCGGGAAACTTTCTGCTGGGTGCCCTCGCCTCATTCAGCTGGCAGAATGCCATCTCCACTGAGTTCAGACTGGCCACGCCACTGGAGCTGCGATGGACCTGCTGCACTTGCGACCTGAGCTCCAGGAATTCCTCGTTGGTGTGCTGCATCACCTCTCGTTGATCCAAAACATGCCGAAGGTTCGAACCTGATTGGTGTGCGAAGAAAAGTGGGTGTGGCGGATCCCGAGCTTTCCAATCCGCAAGTCTTGGGACACAAGGAAGGCCTGGCACAAAGATCGAGGATTTCATGGGCCCCCAGAGCCCGAATTTCCGAATCTGGAGGTTGTCAAAATCAGGGGTTCCTTTTGATATATGAAAAGTGGCACCTTAAGCTCAAGGGGGCCATCTTTTTGACAACCCATCTATCAGGCGGATTGATCTAATTCCCCAGCCTCCTGCCCAGAGATGCTATGGGGAAAGTCCCTGAGCCTCAGGCCAGCGGATTTCCGTGCCAAGAATCGAACTGCCACCCTGTTTTTGTTTACAAAAACCGGAACCCTTCCGGTTACAAAGTTAAACCAAGGGGACAAAGGGGGCACCCCCTCCCCCCGAGTTGAAAAAAAAAGAGCCGGGCCGCACGGTCCCCAAAAAGAGTTGAAGAAAAAATATGTGGATTTCCTGGGCTGGGGAGCTGCTGTAAGGCTTCCTCTCGCACCGTGCTCTTGTCTGTCACCTCCGGCGCGCGCTCGCCCAGCGCGGGGTTCCGGTCCTGTGCCTCATCTGCAGCCCACAGGGCGGTCCAGACCTGAGGGTTCGCTGGGCTGCGGGGCTCTCTAAAAACCTATGGAAGCCAGCCAGGGACCCACCTGGCCAAAACTCGATCTTTCTTTGGGGGTTAGGCGTTCCGCACCTCCTCCAGTCGTTTGGTGGCTCGCTCGGCTTTGCCGCGCAAGGCAGTAGCGGCCCTTTCTGCATCTCCGGACTGAGTCGAGCATCCTGCCAGGGTCGGGCAAAGCTTGTTCAACCAAACACGATTCGGCCCTCAAAAAGAACCTAAAGGAAGTTGTTCAAACAACAGGAGCTTGCAGCATGGCTTGAACACGGGGTTGCATTGCTCAACCCTGCATCCTGCAGCTTCAAGCACCAGGTCGTGCTCAGACTTGAGGGCTTCCATCAGATTGACAACTGCCGTGTTGCGCTCCTGGATAAGCTCGCCCTCTTTCTTCTCCTCCAGGCGCCAAGTGCGAGTGGTTTGGGACTAAACTGACGTTCTACAAATTGAACCTGAAATAGTGAAGGACCTGCATCGTGGGCTCGTTTAACCCCAGGTGAGCGCCAAAACCTCAAACTACCCCCTATTTGTTCTCGCTCTTTAAAGGGGGCCAAATCAAACCCTCAGACAAGGGTTAGCCCTGTTCTCCTCCGTCTCCTCCTTCCCCTCCTCCTCCAGCAGTGGGCCCCCAGGGCTCCCAGGTTCCTTGTCTGTCCGGATCTTTGCCACACACCTCCTGATCCTCTGCTGATAGCGTTCCTTGGTGCTCCACTTTAGGTCTGGAAAACTGAGAAATTGCAAACATGACCCATTCCCTTTGGCGTTTTGGGGAAAATCCGGCCCCAAAGAAGAACATTTGAACACTTCGGTTCATTTGCCGAACATGGGCTACTTCTCTTGCACCCAGTCTCCAAATCGCTGGCAGCTTTCAGGGATGCCTGCCGCTTCTCTTCCAGCTTCTTCTTCACTTCCTCCTCCTGGTTGCAGGAGACACGCGCGTCTTCGGCGTCCTCCAGCGCCCGTACCAACTTCGAAAAGTCCTGCTGGGCGAACCGTGGCACGCGGAAATTGGGAACAACTGCATCCCCAAAGCCCGACAAGCACCATACCCAGAGTCACGGCATGCAGTACCCCAAGAATGTTCTGATGGGAGCGGAGGGCGGGGGTTCACCTACAAACAAAAGCTGTTTGTTGGCTGAAAGGGCAAATCAATCAAGAACATTGGGAAGGGCATCGGAGTGAAGTCTGGCAGGGCCCTCCTCCAACGGAGGGTCATTCGAGGATGCTGGCCCAACACTTGTGGCAAGCGAGCCGCTGCTCTTCACGCACATTGCATATATTCCTCGTAGAGAGCACGGTCTTCCAGTTCCACGTATATTCGTTCTAAGCTTACTTGTGTTAGGGACATTTACTGGACAACTCGCCCCGGCGGCTTCGACGCTTTCCTCGTGAAACTCCGCCATCTCCGGCAAATCCGCCAGGCTCTGCAGGGGCTGGATGGAGTGCCTGCCACACCTCAAAGCAAAGGCGGCTGGGCAGAACGGGGAACCTGCGGTGGGACGCCAAAAAAGTAACGCCACCTGGTGGTGAGGTGTGCGTTTGTCAGTCCCCTTCAGTACGCTTTGCAACTGTTCAGCTTGGTCCAATGGGAGTCCGCAAAGGGAACCTTGCCTCATTTTTGAGAAACCGCCAGCAGGATTGATTCTGAGCTGAAACATTCCCTGGCATTCGGATCCCTTCTGGCGCCCAGGCGGGGTAAGCTCAGAAACAAGGGGGTCCTGGATGATTCACATGGTTGACAAACACATCGTTTTTCTCTAGTCTTCTGAAAGCTGCTGCATGCTTGAAAATGGCCAAGTCGTATCTTGCCAGGACGCCTCCCCTTTTCAAAAGTTGCAACTTCTGGCCGGCGCCAAATCAAAGTTGCAGTTGCCACGTTTGCAGCTCCAAAAAAACAGGAAACTGAGGGGTCTTGCGGCAAAACACTGTTCTGCTGCGATGCCAAGTCTGACTTCCCATCCCCAAGACTTGGCCGATGCTTGGATTCGACCCGCCTGAAGAAGCGCCGGGACAGGTCCCGCAGCGCCTTGGGGCGCCCTGCAGAAGGCGCAGCCTTGCAGCTTTTCAGGGCAGTGGGTGACTGGGGCGAGTCGGCCGTGCTTTTAAAGGCCTTTTTGAGCATGGTCTGGTTAAACATGTATTAAACACAACACCCGTTTTGTTTCTTGGTCAACGTTCAAGTCTAAACCCAGCAGTTTAATTTGTTCTTTCATTCCTTCCCTTTGGGCCTCCCCTCTTCAAAAATGGGGGGCACGATTGTGGAAAATCACCGTTTCTGGGATACCAAAGTTGGCATCCCCAAGACTAGATTAGCACCTTAAACCTTTCAAAGGATGCCTTTGATATCACAAAACGTGGCCCTAAAACCAAACTTTCCGCAACCATGCAACGGGGAACGCCCTTGTTTTGGCTTTGCAGGAAGCCAAACACCAGGATCCCAATCATATGGGACCAAAAAAATGGGGGCCAAAATAGAACTATCATTGTAAGATAATCCCCACCACCACCCCCCTCCCCCGCTTCACGTTGCCATGGCTTCCCTTCGGGTAAAATTGGTTAAACTTTGCAAAACTGCGCAAAACATTGTAAAATACAACAATGCACCAGCCCGCAATCCGCCGACCCCTTCTTGCCAAAACGGGAGGCGCGCGGGAAGGGCGGCAACACATCAGTGATATTCTGATAACCGCATCATGAGTCATGATCATCACACAAGTCTTATTCAAACTGATCACTGGGAGGAAGCTTGGCTCACACACCTAGTATATCATCCCTGCTGGTGCTGCTGGGGGTGTTGCTGCTGCATGCTGTTCTTCTTTTCGTATCGGATTCAAAAGCCACGCTGGGCCTTGCTGGTGCTGGGGATGCGAAAAATAGGCGTTGTTTGCGTGCTCCTTCCCAGATACTAATGGTCTTTGGATGTATGCAATTGCGTCTGACATCCCCAGCCACCTGCACTTTATCAAGAAGATTCTTTTCCGCTAAACGAGTGGCACTTTATTGCATAGATAACGTGGTCGGCAGCCGCAGCATCACTTGTGCTTTAGGCGTGAAACATATGGTCGGGTTTACGCTCTTTGACAGTGTGGCTCCAACGTGAGGTGACAACATCCATACCCCCGAAAAACAACGAGTAGTACAGGTGCATCATAACATCGCAACAAAATACAATGATGGAATGCACTATAAAGAACGATAATAACACAATATGATGATAATAATAATAATAATAACAATAATACCACTAATAACAATAGATGCCACGAAATAGCATGACACAACATGTTAAAATGTAATACAAGTTAACATGGCAGAACAAGATACAATGTAGCATAACATATTAAACTACATCACAATTTGAAAACACAATAAGATGTGATACAACATAAAATAGTACATGTTCTCGCCTGTCTGCTGTGTATGGATGGGTGTGTGTGTGTGTGTTTGTGGGCATGCATGCATGCTCGTGCGTGCGTGCGTGCGTGCGTGCGTGCGTGCGTGCGTGCGTGCGTGCGTGCATGCGTGGATGGATGGATGGATGGATGGATGGACGGATGGACGGATGGATGGATGGACGCATGGATGTATGTACGTACGGCTGTGTGGAAGGATGGGGGGGGCGTATGGGTGTGCGTGGGCGTATGTTTGCATGTGTGTATGCATGCGTGCAGGAATGTATGTATGCATGCAGGTAGGTAGGTGGGTAGGTAGGTAGGTATGTGTGTATGGTATGTGGGCATGAGGTTTGCAGGTGTGTAGGTATGCAGGCATGTCGGTATGTAGGTAGGTGGGTAGGTAGGCAAGTAGGTAGGTAGGTAGGTAGGTAGGCATGTATGCAGGTATGGAGGCATGTCGGGTTAGGTAGGGGCGTGTAGGGGTATGTGGTGTAGGGGTGTGTTTTGGGGTATATAGAGGTATGTAGGGGAACGTACGGGTATGTAGGGGTATGTATGGGTATGTATGGGTAAGTAGGTATATATGTAGGTATGCACGTTATGCTGCCCTTAAATAATCCCCTTGGGCTCGGGTGACAAACTAAAATTCTTTGCGAGGCCGGCATTCGACTTGCAACCAGGTCAATCAGGGTCCAGGGTGTTGGGTGTCGTTGTGTGTGGAAATACTTTTTTTGGTTTAGAAACTGGGAGAAGGCAACCAACCATTGTCAAAGAAACTGTCTAAGGGAGCTCACAAAATGCTGCCTTGTGATTAGTTAAGTAGCTGAAAACAATGCTGCCTTTTGATGAGTGAAGTATCCAGGAAAAGGGCAGCAACCCTTCTGAACCGCTTCTGCGTTGGATGCCCCCAAACATGGAATTGAACGGGACTTGGTACTTTCGGACATATTGGCTGAGCTGCGCCCCTTTCTTGCGCTTATCCACCCCCAGCCTCGACTGTGTGGCCCATGCCTTCGCCTTTGCCGTGTTTGGCTCGCTCCTCCCGGATCTTTGTCAGGTGTTCCCTGGACGTTGGGCGATTCTACGCCTTTAAACATGTTTAAACACCAATGGTTTAAACACCATCCTTTTTTGGTTTCCCAAAGTTGTTCAGGCAACTTTTGCAAGCCTGGTTCCCTGACCAGGGGTTCTTAGCTCCATCCGAACACCCCGAAACCACCACCAAACATGTCATCTTTTGAATGGCCCAAGTTCCATGTCATCTGCATGGCTAAAGTTCCCAAAGCTCATTCTTTGGAGGGCCCTGCCTGAATTCCTGGGTTGCAGGACGGGGGGTGCGGTCTTTCGGCGTCTCCGGCAAGGGGGGAGGCCGAGAGCCGGGAGGAGGCCGCGGAGGCGGCGGGGGCATGGGCCGATCATCCGCCATCCGCTGCGGGCGCTCCGGGCGCGCGGGGCTGGGTGTGCCTAAGGCATCGAAAACACCTGCGGCCTGAGCCAACACAGCGGCTGGAAGCCCAAACTCGGAAGCAGATCCTCCGTTGCTTTCTGCTCCCCTGCCAAAAGTTTAACTTTTAGTGGTTTAATGAAAAACCCATTAGCTGGCAAAAAGTTAAAGTCCTAACATCCAAGCAAAATGCACCAATCTGCTCTGAGCCGCAAAAATGCCAGGGCGTCAACGGCACCTGGCTTTGGAGCCTGAAACCCGTCACAAACAATGCAATGCGAAGCAGGCCTTCGAGCGCCATCGCAGTCTCCGGCCTGGGGCCCCTGCACAAGGCCGCCAGTCGGCCGCTGGACTCATTAGCTGCGCCCTTCGGTGACGAGAGATACAGGACTCAATCTTCCATCGCTACCTCTAGCCTCTACCCTGCCGCTCCGAATGGGAACCCCCGAACAACACAGATGCACACCAAGTGGATAAGCCGGATAAGCTACAATTCGTTTGGCTAGAAAACAACTACACTGTTTGTTTCGCCGTAGTGAATTTGCTCAATCCCTTCAACTTTCAAATCTAAGGACCTTTGCAGACACATGATTCAATCAATTTTGGCTTGGCCGGTGCCGCTTTGGGGCTGTCAGCAGGAAGGTAAGCTAACTGCAGACTTCAGGATTGAAGAGCCCGCTTCTGTCCTTTGTGTCTACATAACCCTCACCTACACAGTATGAACGGCGCATATGTTTTCTATAATCCATGCGTGTGGGAGATCCACGCGTGTAGCAACAATACCCTATCAACCCCCTGCCTGCAAGGGTTCTTAGAACCAGGTTCCTGGAAGGGGTTCTCAAGAACCATTCTCGTTGGTAGGGAGGCCCTAATGGCCATCACTAAAGCTTGTCTTTCTTGTTCGATCCGGGGCTTGCTTTTTCACACGAAGAGAGGATGTTCGTCCGTTCTTAGTCCATTTGAAAATGCAAACTTCTTTGATAGAGTGGTCGGAACAGTACTTGCCTGGCCTCAATGTTTTGACTGCAAATTTGGGCTGAAATCCACAGAGCTCCAGAAAGAAAAGCTCAACCAAAAATGGAGCCCTGTCCATGCCCGGATTTGCGCGAGCGTGCCTCGCGCAGTCGGCTTCGCACATGGGCTCAGCATTGCACGGCGAATTATACACATCTGCGCAGCAGAACCAAGTCCCAATCCATCCAAATCGGGAAACAGCCTTGTTTTGCAACGGAAGGACCTTGCGCACCCCAAGTTTGTAGCCGGGAAGAATCTTGCCGACCTTGAGCCGCGGCCCCACCTGCCCTTTGCATCAAGAATGCAGAATGGAGGACTTTGCTGCCGAAAACAAACATGGCACCTGAAACTGGTCTTCAGGAAAGACCAGCTTCAGATTTCATGTTTGTGCTTGGGAGGCCCCTAACGCCAGCCTTGGCACTCTGAGACACTAAAGCCACATTGGCAGGGTGGGTAACATGCCGGCGAACCCACACAAGCTCCTGACAGGTTCTCCATGTTCCACGCTGGTGCAAACAACCGAATAATATTTTGATATTTTTCGGGGACTGGCCAAAACTGATGTTTTTGGCTGGCGTACTAGTTTTTGGGGCCTCCTAAAGATGTGTCTGTTGGCTGGTGTATCATTTGTTCCTTTTGTTTGGCGGACCACGCTGGCTCCTTTTTCCGCGTTTTTTTCTCACCCAGCTGTCAGGCGCAGCCCGCAGGGCCCCAGCACTGGTCGCAAGGTCCAAGCGGCCCCGCGACTGAGCGCCTGGCGCGCCGCCAGCCGGGCGAAGCCCAACCTGCGGAAGGCTATCAAACGATCCGCGACGTTGACGCGGTTAGAACTCCAAAGCTCAGGTGTGCCACAAGTTTGCGGCAAAAATCCGGACTTCAACGAAACGCCAGTAGAAATAGTGCGACCACAAAAGTTTGTGGGGCTTTGGGAGCTTTCAGCTTGGCCGCCCAAGCAGCAGTAGTTGACCCACCCGAGACCCTAAGACTTCCCACCAAAAGTGAAACCACTTGATCGCACTGCTTAGGCCGATCGCTCGCACCAGCGGCGTCGCATCGAGTTTAGCTTCGTGCTGCGGGGACCAGAAGTGCTGCAACAGACTTCTCTGCCGGCGCTGGCGGGAGAAGTTGTGGAGAGGTACGATGAGCTATGGAATTGGCGCAACGCTGCTTCGAGGATCATCTCCGGCTTCAGCGAGCGCGAGAGGCAGGGCGAGATGGCCTTGAGAGGGCTTTCCGCTCTGGAGCAGGCAAGAAGGCACTCACGCCTGGTTGTCTCCTAATGCCGCTCCCATCGCATTCCACACTGTATACTTGCCGGTTTGTGAAATTTGCTGGGACGTTGTCCGTGCCGTAGCGGAGTTTGGGCTGCAGACGCTCGGCGTCTCGTCCGTGCTCATCATAACGAACCGCCTGGATAAGTGCCGACGGTCCAAGTAGGGTCACGTTTCTTCAAGCTTGCCTTTCCTTTGCTGACAGGCTTTGTTGGACCGCAAAAAAGCCTTTGCGTGGGTTCAGTCCAGCGACCTGGGGGGCCTCCCGCGTGTGATCTGCCTCGTGTTTCAGTCTTGACGACCAGGAAAAAAACCTGCCCTTTTGTGTAGGTGCGGAGTCTAGTGCGGTACAGCGCCGCGCCTTCCAATTGCAGTGTGGCTGGGAGCAATTCCGTCATGTTCAATCCTATTCCAATGCACATGACTGGAACTGTCCAGCCTGGCTTTGACAGGCCAGAGTCCGCCCCGGACGTTTGAGACTTGACTTCCTTTGAAAACGCCATCCAGCAGCTTAAGGAAATTGAGTTGGCGGAGCGAGTTCACACGGTGCATCTTGCCTTGTCAGAGAAAGCAACTTTGACTTAATATTGTCGTCAAAGGGCGACAGGGACTTCTTCTCGACGGTCCACGGCGATCTTGTGCCCGCGGCTGCGCAGCTGCACGAAGGTTGCCCTGCGCTCGCTGCCCTTCTCCAGTTCTCAAGATGCCGGACGTTGGTTTGGACACGTTTGATCTTGCGCTCTCCTTGTGCGCGCCGTCGGGCTGGACGCAAGGCAGTGGTGAGGCCTTTGGAGCTTATACCGAACTTGGCTGAGTTGAGAGTCCAGTGAGCTTTGGCCAAGGCGGAGATGAAGAGCAGCAAGCGCAAAAGAGAGACACTGGACAGTTCGGAGCGCGATTTAAAAGCAGGGGGAGGTAGCGTGACTTTTGCGGCCGGCAGGAAAAAAAGAAACCCCAAATCCGTTTCCTAGATTGCAGAATGCGACCCTTGGCCTGGCCGAGAACGATCAAACGACTGGACGTGATAGTCATGAACAAGAAAACAGGCACCCAATCCACCAACTCGCACGGGGTTGTGGAGTACTATTAAGTTTAAATTCAGCCATGAATGGGCATTTGCATAGGCCGTCTGGAAGACAAGGTTCCTCTAAAAGGGAGTTCCATGTTAGACGGTTGCAAAGGTGCTCATCTGATTTTTGACTTCCTTTTCAGGGAAAGCGGGGAAAACATGTGGCACCGCTGCCCACATCATAGGCTTCCCGGCCTTCGGGCCTTTCCCCCGGAGGCCGCCAGAAAGCGAAGGCGCGTCTGCAGAACCACCGCTGCCTCGACCTGGTCTCCGGTGAAATTTGCGGACAGGGTGTTTTACTTTCGTGGATAATGTTGACCCCATATCAATCAAGCCCAGCGTATTAGTCATCACTTCTGGAGGGGAACACCCCCATATTAACAAACTGGGGTTGATTAATATGGGGTCAACATTAGCACCATCCCGCGATGACCAAACATACCAAACCATGGGGTGGGAATCGTCTTGGCCACCAGTGCCTCTTGCGCTTTGCGGGGCAGCCCAAAAAACACAGCGGAAACTGATGGGGACCACCCCGACCGATGTGCTAGCAATACCGACTGTTGTGTGCCAAAACCACGTGGTCCAGATTTGCTGTACCCTCCATGCACGTTGGTAAACCAGAGCATCCCGAGCAAACCCGCCATTTCAGGGGCCACCATGGTTTTTTGAGGTCCAAAAAAATCAAACAACACTGATTGCGAGTCATTCGAAGCGTTCCACAATCCAATTCTGCCATTTGCTTAAGCCCCCTGGAAAAAATAAATTATTCCAGTAGTGATAGATTCCCCTTAAAACCAACAGGAGAAAATAAAAACATGTTCTTCAGCAAATGGAAGCATTTGCAGCAAGCGCCGCCCTCCAAGCCACCCATCGACTCCTCGCCTCCCACGGCCTTGGCTCCTGCACGGCCACGCCATCCTCGAAGCTCGGCTTAGCACAAGCCCGGCGTTCAGCCGGCCCCAAAGTCGAGTGAGCGACTCTATAAACCCCCCGTCATGGCCCATGATTCCCTATGTCGTATCAAGTTGCTTACGCGCGAGCTTGCGCCTTCCTTCCTTGCGCAGGGATGTAGCGGGGGGATTTTGGAGCTGCTCAAGTAGAACCTGGTGGATTGATTTCTTGGGCATCCAACATGTGAGCAGCGGATACTCCCTCTCGCGCCGATGCTGCGCCATCAAACAAGGAAACCAACAGGGAAGCCCACCCATTTTGGGGAGTCCAAATCCTATTCTGACAGGTATCCTCGGTGGCAGGCTTGGACCTCAGATCCATCCTCCTGCCTCATCCTCGCGCCGGAAAGCCTCCAGAAAGGCCTCGAGCGAAGGAACCTCGTCTCCTGGCCCAAGCAAAACCACGGCCTTGGTTGCTGTAACGGCCGTCCCCTCTGCAAAAAGTTGTTCACTTCTTCTCGGTCCAATGGAAACACAAAGCTGCAAGTGGGCTAACACTTGCAGAACAGCATCCACCCATTCGTGATTGGTTTGCCCTGGCCCGGCCGGCTATCCATAGCCCAAACCTTCCGGTCCCAGCCTTCGGGCGCCAGCGAAGCCTGCGGAATGCCGTGGGTTCTGGCCGCCTCTTTGTTTCCAAACGAGCGATCCAAAACAAGGACTTCTGCTTTCAACCCAACGCGCCCGGCAAACCTTGCAGTGGTTTCCGGAACCGGGGATCTGGCTTGGAACACTTTCTTCTGAACAGGACCCTCTGGTGGGTCCCATGCTGTGGACGCGGAGTGCAATCCCCAACGCATTGAGACCGTCCCTCCCCCTGCAGTTCGACAACACGTCGTTGCCATTGCCTCCTCCTGCACTCGCGGTAGCACGCACGCCAGCCGCTCACCCAAAAGGTGAGCCTGAAGCAAAGCTTACGTGGACACTGGGCATCATGTATGCCGAGTGGACATACCTGAGCATACCTCGGACCGCGTGTTAAAGAGGGTATCACATGGGAAAGTGGGGGGATATGCTCAAAAGGCTACATCGCCTGGTGCGGGCATCATCCTCCTTTACAAAACATCTCCTCAAAACGCGGCTGCGTTCCAACTGGAGAACGGCATATTGGAGGGAATTATGCAACATCCGGAATGATGGCACCAGGCCAACATGGGCCGTAGGCATCCACTTAGAGCGGGGATCTAGAATAAGGGGGACCCATAACCAACTTGATTGTTTAGGCAGCTGTGACATATATTTGCAGACTGCGTTTCGGAAGCAACATGCGCAAACAAATCGATCGACATCAGCACAGCTCTCTTCAAATCTAACGCTGGGCCCCAGCGACCATGGACAAAAGGGCTTTTCGCGGCTCTTCTTAAGAGTGAAACCCTCAGAAAAGGTTGGAAAGAAGGAGTGCAAGTGGGTGAGGGGATCCTTGATATGGAATCCCCGCGACTCGGCTGGAAAATTGGACACGACCTCACAAGCGAAAGCAGGCCTCGAAAAAGAAAATAAGAAGAAGAAAACGCTTCAGCTTCCCACTTGGTGACTCGGTGGCGTGGAGTGGTGGTTTGGAGGATAGAAGCGATACATAGCGCTTTGCAACTACTTGTAGTGAAATCGCCACCTAGTTGAAAACCGCTAAATTCGCTGGGCAGCGAAGCCAAGGAGCCCACAAGATTGACAAGGCCAAGCCCCTGCTTATGACCCTTAGGGGGAACCCGAAAGACTTTCCCAACCCTGGAAAAGAGCCCACAACTCAACAGTTCTTTGGTGCCTTGCTAGTGGGACATGTCATGCACCTGCGAACCGAGAAGACCACTTGCTGGCTCTCAGGCGAAATGACCCGACTGAACCATCCCTTGAGGAAAATATGGCATTCTGCAAGCCTTGCGACCCACTACCAACCAGCACAAGTTTGGTGCAAGAGCATTCCCACCTCTCGGATCTCAGCGCCAGGCACCCTTCGGTGAGAGCACTGCCCCATCCCAGCAGCCCGCAGCCTCAGACCTGGCATCCCTCGACCCCGGATTCAGCCTGCGTGAGAAGCAGACCCATCTCGCGAAATGGGGCCCATCAAAACCAACCAGTTGACTAAGTGCCATCAGACCCATTTACCCAACCAGGCGTTGGGCCGGCGCTGGGGGTTCCGTCCCAACCCAAGGTGTGTCGAAATTGACCAGGCCTGGGGCCCCAGGGCAGCAAGGCCGCGACGTTCACCCACTCCACGCGTGACTCCACATGTCTCGCCCACCGCGCCAGCTGGTCGTTGGCAGCATGACGCCTCAAGGGGCCAGCTGGTTTGCAGGGCACAAGGAGCCTGGTGATTGCTCTGACAGGTCGTGGATGTGCTTGGCTTACTTCTGAAGAAATCCCGAAATCCACCATAGCCAAGGCGAAAGTGAATGCAGAAGCTGACCAGGATTTGCAAACATCACAGGACAACAACAACAACAACAACAACAACAACAACAACAACAACAACAACAACAACAACAACAACAACAACAACAACAACAACAACAACAACAACAACAACAACAACAACAACAACAACAACAACAACAACAACAACAACAACAACAACAACAACAACAACAACAACAACAACAACAACAACAACAACAACAACAACAACAACAACAACAACAACAACAACAACAACAACAACAACAACAACAACAACAACAACAACAACAACAACAACAACAACAACAACAACAACAACAACAACAACAACAACAACAACAACAACAACAACAACAACAACAACAACAACAACAACAACAACAACAACAACAACAACAACAACAACAACAACAACAACAACAACAACAACAACAACAACAACAACAACAAACAACAACAACAACAACAACAACAACAACAACAACAACAACAACAACAACAACAACAACAACAACAACAACAACAACAACAACAACAACAACAACAACAACAACAACAACAACAACAACAACAACAACAACAACAACAACAACAACAACAACAACAACAACAACAACAACAACAACAACAACAACAACAACAACAACAACAACAACAAAAACAAAAACACCTTCTCAAATCAGATCTTTGAACTGGACATCTGAACTCCATGTCAATTCAAGAACCTATGCTGAAGTGCGTGGCCATGATGCACGCAGCCCACGAACCAAATTTCTGCTTTTGAAGCGCCAAGGAAAGTCTCCGACTTGGAGTTTGGCAACGTCTTCCCTAAGGCGGCGTCCCTAAAAGTCAAACTCAATCTCCAATCAAGCACCCAAGACCCAAAATAGCCCCTGGTTGAGTTTGATTGGGGAGTGTCCCGATCAGTTTTGAGGGAAACACTGCCACAGTTTTCGAGATGAGAGAATCTAGAGTGTACGTGGGTCACGGCCTACAGATGAACTCGATTTGCTAATAGCTACTAATGTAATTCCCTTTGCTACCATCCTGAACTTGGTACCCAACCTGAATTAAGGAGCGCCAATGTCAGTGTATCATGGTGAGCCTGTTTCCCCTAGACTGGTGAACTCGCTATACAGTAAGGCGTGCAGAGTGAGTGATGGCGAAGATTGTCCGAAATGAGAACCCAGGACTCACAAAGCCCTGATCGATTGGAAACACCCCTATTAATCTGCGAAGTTTGACTTTTTCAAAAACCTTGAAAGCTGAGAGGGGGTGTTACGAGACTGCGGGAACCCCCTGTCCACTCGTCACTGCAACAGGGGTATAACCCCTACAAACACTGACTTGGAGCCATATCAGAGAGTCATTGCAGCCTAGTGGCTATTAGTGACTCATAGCGCCAAGTGGCCATCCAGGACCAGGTCACCCAGCCCCCCCCCCAGGTGTACTGCCTCATGGCCTCGGATCCCCCCGCCTGGCCGTAAGGCTTTCCCCCACCAAAAAGGCCAAGCTGGCGCGCTTGGTGGCCTCCGGAACCGCCAGGAAGATGGTGCCCGCCGAGGCCTGCGCAGCTCTCCGGCCGGATTTCCAGGGTTCCCTGCGCTTCCCTGTGGCCTCAGAACATCAGCAAGGGAAACTGAGCCGAAAATTATAGATGTTGACCACCCAAAGGAAAATACAGGGACCCCATGTTCAAGCTGTCAAGAGTCTTTGGCTAGTGAGGCACCGTCTGCCAGGATGAGCCGATGCGGATTTGAGGTAACCAACAGGGTTGGCACCCGAACGTCATCCTACCAGCTAGCAAAAGATGATGTAGTACAAAAAGGTCGTTGGTGTATGTGCAATCGTCATTTTCTCCGTCTTTCAGACTTTGTTCAGGCAACGTGCTTCACTACAGCTTCAGCTGTTGCTCCAACTGAACATGTCATATTCAGCTGATCGGCGGCCTCAACAAGTGCAAAACCATGTTGAGGGGCCCCCAAAAGCTGGTCCTGTTTCCGTGCCAGCCCTTTGCAAGTTTTCAGGCAGACATGCAAACTCATAGGCAAATAGGGAAGCCTCCAAGATATCCACTTCATTGTCCAATTTTGACACAAACACCCATGATTTGGGAGGTGACAAATTGACAAGTGGAAACCGGTTGGCTCCAAAAAGCCCAAGGAAAACCCACCACTTTCGTTGCCAGCCCACGCCTCCAGCGCCGCCTCGGCTAGGCGCCTCACGTCGCGGGCCGCGTCTTCCGCCGAAGCGCCCAGGCCGAGGTCCCGGCCTTTTGTGAGAGAGTTGGCCACCCCATCAAACAGGTTTTTTGTCACTACCAGGGGGTCCATCATTTTCCCACCCAAGGCAAAAAGACTCCCCTGGATTCAGTACTCCATAACCAAAAATGTGGCAAGGGGCGTACGATGGATTGAGGCATCCATCAACGCGGGTGAGTCCACTTATACGCATGGCTGCAAAGTTGGGAAAGGTATACCTGGCATGCTTCCTTCATCTCCAAACCCACCAACCTACCCAGCCTTGCGCCTTTCCTGGGCTCAGGAAAGATCTCAAATCCGCCTGTCCTCAAAGCACCAGCGTCAAGGCCGTTTTTTTCCGCCGATTGTCCGCATTCTCCGTCGCAAGGCCGCAAGGCCGGAGGCTTTGCGGACTTGGGCCCCCGGCCACCGGCCACCAGCAACGCCGCATCACAGCCCGCCAGCAGCGTCCGGAGGTTAGCACCCCGGCGCCCCCGGGCGTCAACCAGATCTTCGCCCAGCAGCTGGGCCTGGGACGTCTCTGCCCCTCACCCCCGCCCCCCAGTGTGTGTGTGTGTGTGTCTGTGTGTCCTGGTACCTCTGTTTTTGTTGGTAGGTTTCAAGGAAGACCAAAAATAAAACAACATTTTGGGGGGCATCCCCTAAACAAGCACCCCATTGATTGAAGGGGCCAAAAGGGAACGTGTTAAATCATAGGTTTGGGGTTGAACAAGAAACACCAGAATCATTTGGATTTGCAACACAGGCAAACCTATACACATACATGTGCATCCCTTCCCCTAACAATAAACCGCGGCCTCCGCAATGAATTCACCTGGAACCTTTAGTAAAATGGGGAATGGATTAGATAAACTGCAGTCGAGGTGTTTTTGCCAGCAGTATTGCCTTTCGTCTAAAAGAATCAGCACAAAGACCCGGTGGCAACATGCAATTCCAAAGGCATCTGTATGGAACCAAGCCGCAGAGCTCAAGCCACTGAACAGGCACGCAGACACCTGCCGTGCCACGAAACCTCTCTAACGAATGCATTTCGATTCCGGCAGTGAATTCCAAGTTGTGTTGCCACCCACCGAAACGGCCGAAACGCGGCACCACTTCAGCGTGTCAGATGACCCAAATGCGGCCTCGGTGTGCCCACTGGCCCGTCTCAGCCCCGGTGCATGGGGGGGGGAGCATTGCCTCGGCGGCGCCGTCGGAGGCCACGGCTTGGCACAAGCCCTGCGCCAACGCGTTCACCGCGTGGGGCGCTACCAGGCCCTCGCCTCAGCGTCGCAGGGCACGGCTGCATGGCCATCTGGAAGTCAGGAGGCCCGCGCTGGTCATTGCCTTGCTGGTGCGATAAGTAGGAAATGAGGAAATGAAACTGGGGATTCCCTCAAAGGAAACCACAAGGGATTATTTACAAGGGTCATTCCCTCATTCCCCGCTGAGCACCAGCAAGCAAATTATTTTCCAGCTGTTCCTTCACCCACCAAGAAAAACTAGGCGACAATTACCAAAAAAAGAACTGAATGCATGTGGATGGCCCCGGGGCGCCAGTTTGACGGCATACTTCACCCTGAGTGCAAACAAATGGATTCCGAGCTGCAAGCTCAAGCGCGATGCCAACGATTTAAACGAAGGCCCAGGTGCATAAGAACGAGGCTGCCTTCGCCTACATGGGTCTGCATTTTCGGCCCCGCGGGCGAGCGATCGATCCGCCGAGGCGCCGAACACCGCCAGGCGCCGCGTCGCCGCAGGGACCTCGCGCGGGGCCGACGTGGCCCGCGCCAGCGCGGAGCTGTGGGCGTCGGCGCGGAGCTCTAAGCCTCGGATTGGAACGCGAAGCGAAGCGAAGGGGCTAAGCAGAAAAGGACACGTGCTTGAGAGCTAGGGGAAAAGGAAAACCCTGGAGGTGATGTGTTTGAGAGTTTTGGGGGGAGCTTTTGGGGGCGTCCCCTTGCTTGATCAGGTTGCAGGCTATCAGGCTATCTCCTTGAAGTGGAGGAGCTGTCTCGCAGGAGGTCCGGGTGGGGGGGGAATGCCCCTCATAGCCATGTCTGCTTCATGCAATGCCCAGGCGCAAACTTGCGGAGAGCGCTCATAGCCCATTTGCAAGGCCGACGGAAAGATAAGAACAACTTGGACGATGCCTAGATCCAGTGCAGAAGGTGTACCTTGTGATTGCTCTTGTCACTGGCAAGCCAATTTGGGCGAGTGGAGTCAGACTTGCTGGGTCACTGTGAGGATCCTGGAGGGATTTGCTGCCGTCGAAGTGGCCGGGTGTGAGTGATGAGGTTTGCCTTCTTACTTCCAGTGACAGCGGAGGCTTTCAGGGGAACAAATGTGCGGTATACTGCGACCCGGCGAAGTGGCCAAGTGCCGGAAGCCAAAAATGCGTGAAGGCCGGCCACATCGCTCAGCACCAATCTGCGTATGGCCGGCAGGGAATGAGAGCACTGCACGATGGTTGCGCCGCATTCAAGTCGAGCAAAGTTGCCGGCAAGGCCAACCACATCGCCGCTTTGGCAGTGCGAAAGTGGCAGCCAGGGACTTTTGCAAGCACTTCATGGGATGCCACCTCCGGAAGCCGCTGCTCAGCCTGGCAGCATGAGCTGTGATTGCAGGCCACCCCCCACTCACTCCACCCAGCAAGAGACATCAAACTCAGGGTGGATTGGTCAGGAAAAGCTGGGACTTGTTTACCTCAATCCATCTTCCCAAAAACTTTGCTTTAAAGTCGGCTCACCCGAGACATCGAAAGCATGCTCTTTTTCATCCCCGGCGGAGCTTGTGCGCAGCGCCGGTTCCTCCTCCGAGCGCATCGCCGTTTTGGCGGTCCGCCCCTGTGGCGCAGCCGTTCTCGGCGACCGATTGCGGTGGCTCAGGCCTGGCGTTTTGCCCGAAGTGGTCAGAGGCACACAGGGGGCTTTCTCAAACTTCGGAGTCCCCTGAAAACGCCGGTCATTCGGAGAGCTCCCACATGTCACATGTCCAAATCCCGGGCTAGGAAACAAGGGAAAGCAAGCGCTTGCAAAGCCGGTGCTTGCTTCGTCAATGCATCTCAATCTGCCTGCCAAATCTGTCTTCCCAAAACAGAAACATTCGGCCATCCCCCTGGCAACTTCACGACAAAGTTGTGGGGAGCGCCTCAGGAGCGTCCTTGCTCTGCGGAAATGCCGGTGACGCATAGAGGGACTGCTGCTGATCACCCACCACCTGCGGCCAAGCAGTAGCCTGTCTCCGACAATCATGGAAGTGGACAAGGGGCTTTGGATAGTACTCTTCGAAAACCCTCCCGAAGAGCGAAGAGTAAAGGGGCCAGAGCAGAGCATGCAATTCGCATGGTGGTCATCGTTACGCAGTCTGCATTGCCCTAGCCTGGCCCGAGTCAGCAAACGGCCTGGTCGCAAAAACGTCAAACACTGACGTGAATACCAAAAAATGCTTCGCGATTCGAAACTCAACACCCTACCCCGAAAATGAGGAGAAGACGCCGCCACCACCCCGCAAACCCCGCCAACCCCCAGAAACCGATCAAACCAACCAACCCAACCCAACCCAACCCAACCCAACCCAAACAAACCCCCCACCCCACCCAGACCCAACCACCCGCCTTCCAGGCGCTCGATGCTCTCCTTCAGTGCCAGAACCTCCGGGCTGGCATCCAGGGCCACCGCCTGGAAGCCACGCGCAGCGGCGGGAACCCGCGAACCGGGAACCCGGGCATCCGGGGTGAAGGCGTCTGCTGTTCCCCCTAACTTCCACCACGGGTAGCTGTTGTGAGGGGAAGTTGCGTGGTAGCTCCAGGGAAGCAAAGGCCGCACATGCCAGTTACCTGCCATTCATCTACCAAACAAATGAAGCAGCGAAGAGAGAGAAAACAACTGAGAATGCAAAGGTTTCATACTAACATTGTGTAACATAAGCGTAGTGAGGCATAAAAATCCTACGAGTAGATCTGCTACGCTGATGCCTCGCTCACTTGTGGTCGAAGCAAATCTCGAAGCGCAGTCGGGGGGCTTGCATTGCGCTCTCCCATGCACCCGCAAGGTCAGCGAGCTCCTAAGCAAATCGAAGTGACCAAAAGCACAAGTTGACAAGGTTCGGCAAAAGCCTTCTCAGCCAGGCTTGCAAGGGAAAAAATCAACAGGAGGTTCTAACAATGCATTGTTCCACCCTGTTTAAAGCACAAAGGGATTGCGAGCCCTGGAAGTTGAAGCCAGCCTGTCAACCTGTTCAGTCCTTGCGGCACAGCGCCAGGCGATAATGGCCCTTGACGTAGCTGGGGTCAGCTTGGACGGCCATCTCCGCGTCACTGCGCGCCTCCGCATACCTGGCCACCGCACATCTGAAGTTGCCTCGCTTACCCTCCCAACGCGCCATGGAACTGTGGGGGCAGTGATGTGACAATTTTCCTCAAGGGACGAAACTGGGTGGGATGGTACTTGGAGGGTTTAAGGTGCACCGGGCCTTGAAAAGAACAGAATCAGGAAATTGGGTTCTCTCCCAAGCAAAGTAGAGCTCGGCTTTCTTGTGACATTAGTTTTAGTAATGCTTTGTTCGCAGGATTGGGACATTATGTTTGGACTTCTCTTGCAAGGGCTCCAGCAGTGGTGTATCCTAGGGTCAGTATGTGCTCTGTCTTATGTTTTAACTTTCATGCCTTGTCCTAACCCTTTCTTTAACACTTATCCACTACTTGTATGACTCTACCACCTTGAAGTACAGGAAACCTTACATTAGAATTGCTAATCTCTGGCATATCGTCGCGTCTTACATCGCTTAACCTTTGGGCAACAATTCTAAACCCGCAATCGTGTTGTCCGGTTGCTTCCTTCCCCTTCCTTGATCACATCTTTCGTGTGTTTATCAACATTTTATCTGGCGCACGTCTTTTCATATTGGGTGGCCCTGATTCTAATTTAATACCCTTGCCGTTGATCCAATGTTTGGAGGAGATCCTACATTATATCAACATATGTCTGTTCTGCTTGGACATCCAGAACATAATATCTTAGCAACTTGTGCATGTGGGATCGTTTTCAGGACAATTTACTGGATTTATGGTATTTGCTATATGTCATCTAGTTCTCCTCTTGGAAGTCTTGCTTGGGGCCCATATGTGTGCTGTAGGTTTAGGAAGCAAAGCAAGAACTTGCTTTACAGGAGTTGCAAGCATACGATCTTTACCAAGTCGTACAAGAAAACTTATCTGGCGTTTTAGATGCCTCTGTCTCTCCAATCCGCTATCACCTCGTAGCCGTACTTCTGCCTTTGTATGTCACACCTCTCTTTTTATTCATGCTTACTATAGGTGGGTCAACAAGAATAAATCTGGGACATGCTGCTGTGGATCTGAGACTGCATCATTCCAGAATTTCTTTGTAGAACATGTTCTCTGTTTGTTTAGGAGCTATAATCGCCATCTTCTCTGCATAATCTTCACTAGACAAAATATTGTTGGTACTAAGAACTTATAACTAGCATCTTCATGCACCGTCTCGTTCGCCTTGCAATTTAATACTCATGTCCCTTCCCGATGCACTTCTTGGGATTGTATGATGCTAAGAAGAATCCTATCTTGGAAATGGAAACATGGGAACCACCATGCTAAGGTATCATGCTCAGCTACCCTACCTGGCAGCCCGTAGCTGCGCACATCCGGCCTTCCCAAGTGCATGTGGCACAGGCATCGGTTCGCCAGCAGCTCTGCTGGTATCCGACCTGGTCGGCGCTCGTCGCGACAAACCCCTTGAGGCTGGGGTGGCCAAACCCATCACTTCACCTCACGCCCCCCTCCACCTGGCTTCGCAAACAGCTTTGCAAGCAAGCCGTTGCAAAGTCTAAATTCACCAAAACTCGAGGAAGCACAACGTAGAAATTGGCCTCCTAACATGTGGCACGGCCTGCAAGGAAAAGCTTTGACCCTGTGCCCCATGCGGAACTCGGCGTCTCCGCCTGTGCTTTCGGCACCTTTCAAGAGTTCGATACCTTCCGAGTAGATCTCCGCAGCGTGCCTGGCCCAGGCAAGGCAAACCAACACCAGGGACAGGTTGAAAACACACCGAAACGTGGCTTGGGGTTCTGTCTCCAGGAAAGGTGCTGCTTTCTTGGGGTTGACCTGGGAACAAGTACGGAGGTCAAGCGGAGATTTGACCCCAAACCTCTTGAGATGTGGACTCCTCTCTCAGCTGGCGCCTGAGGTTCTTCGCCTTCACCTCCTCGTTGCCCCGGCGCTTCAGCTCCAAAACGCGCTCCATCCATGAAGCTCGCGGACGGAATCCGTCCGAACGAGACGAAAAGGCCTGTGGACCCAAGGGGCCAAGAAAGTTCAAGCCAATCCAAAGGAATCGAAACTGAAATCTGCCGCTTGTGAAAGCATACGACGCCAATCGAATGAATATGGGAGAACTTGGAAACTTGGAATCTTCTCATTGGGTGTACTGGCTTGGTACGATTCTGCTTGTATAGTGGCTTCCAAACAAACGTGCTGCTTGTCCTGGGCTTGATCCGACAAGATTGCCAACCCGCATTGATCACGTGACGGTGGCAAAGGCACTCCCTCCAATCCTAATGGGGGCCAATAAGTGACGAAATCCTGCACCCCTTGAAACCATGGGAAGCCATTGTTTCTCGGCATTTTCAGGGGAACCATCATTCCAGGATGTCTTAAGTGCTTCGAGTTGGATTTCGCCCATCACTAAAAATCAAATATGGGACCCGTGCGCCTGGCTTCCCGCAGCTCCCGCGCACAGCGGCTGCAGAGACAGCGGAAGCCGTAGCGCCTCGCCAGAAACACCGAGCTGATGCCGGTGCCCTTGAGTTGCTTTAGAGAGAAGCCAAAGGGAAACCCTTCTCATTTTGAGGGTGCATTTTGACATGAGTTTGAAGTATGGAGCCTTTGGTGAACTTCATTGGAAACTCAGGCTAAAGGGCCCAAAACCTATTGCTTCACCCAAGAAAGGAGTATGCAGTTGCAGCTTTACAACTGAAACCCTTGCTCCAGACCCACATCCTGCTGACTCTGGGCAAAGCCGAGGCTTCAGCAGCCATAGGCTGCGCTGGCGTTTTCGCACAGGTTGGCTTTCGTCGATGTAGCTGATGGTTAGCTCCTCCAAGCAGGTCAAGAGGATTTACACGGCCTCCAAACCACACCCAAGCGGGAAAATCGGGCATACTCAATTTTGTCTGGGGGTAATAGATGGGGCAGTGCCAACCCTCTGATGAGCAGGGAACCCCCCCGCCCTCACGAAGCCTATGGTAGACGACTGCTTGCTATTGAGTGCTTTGTCTGATTGAGGGTCCGGAGGGCAGGTGGCTGAAAGGAGACCCCTGCCAGAAGGGACCCTTTGGGTGGGATGACAATTTTAGTAGGGCACTGTGTGAGGGTTTGGGCTTGAGCTCTCTTCATAGTCCCTCCCACCTCTCCGTGCTCCCTTAGTATCTCTTGGCCTGCGAGGCCCCATGTTTCCTTTTGGGAGGGCAAGTGTCAATGCCGACCTGATTGATCAACCGGGTCCCCCAGAAACTCAAGGATTCCACCCATGTGGCAAACAGCTCATCGCTTGCGCGTTCAATCCTGGGTTGCCAGTACCACAACCCTCCTCCCACTGTGTCAAAAGAGCACACCCCTCCTCTCCGGCGGAAATCTTGCGCAAAGCTCGCACCACCGCGGTGGCACAACCATCGCCTTGGCCGCGAAAGCTCAAGTGGACGGGACCCACACGAGTGCAAAATGAACAGAGCAAGGTCTGCAAAACGAATGAGTACCTAGTGTCTGCAATCATCCAATGGCACCATGTTGAAATCACCTCAATTCCTCATGCATCGAGGCTTCCATCCAGCGATCTCCCCAAACCTCAGAAACTCAGCTGAGAATCTGGCCAAACTCCACTTCGCACGCTGGCCTGGCCCGCTCAACGCACTTGTTCGACCCAGGTCGCCCGGCACCGCTGTTGTCAACGTGAGTCGGAATCCACCTGCCTGGCACCGTCCAACACCCCGAACAAAGCCATCACCCCCCCCCCAAAAAAAAAAAAAAAAAACACCAATCAACATGCAACCTGGCAGGAGGTCCCCTTAAAAGGAAAATGGTCATCTACACCCCCATGTCAGGTTCCATGTTAGTTGGTGGCAGTGTAACTCGTTGGATCTGCCTCGCGCCGGGCAGCCAGGCCTGCAGGAATGGTTCATCATGGCCACTCTTCTTGCCAACCCGATGCCCAAGATGGCTGGCAGCTCCTCTCGAGTTCCCAACATGGTTGTGTTTGTTTTTTGGCTGGCAGCCGGCACCCCTCCCCCTTTGGCTTGCTTGCACAAGGACAGCTGAAAGGAAACCACCCATTTTCAGTGGTCCCCAATTTTGAGAAACCAACACCCAATTATTGCGATTAAATATCGATTGAGCGCTTTCCAAAATCGAAGGGTTCCTGAAATGTGGCATCCGGAAAGTAGATAAGACACGCAAAACCAGCCACAGAAACATTCATCCATCTACTGTTGCACGCCTCACCCCCAAGTCCTCCACCAAGTCTGCGGCAACTCCGTTTGCCTTTCTTGCCGCCGGTGCGAGCAATTTCTGATCCCGGCCACGCCATCATCAGAATCGCAATGGCAAAACCAAAGGCAATGGCTGAGCCCGGTTTGTGAAGCGCGGGTTCTTGAAGAGTGGGTTGCCAGCTCCACAACCCACAGACATAGTGGTAGCCTGACCGCACAACAGGCTGCGAAATACCCGTGCATACAATGACATAGTCTTAGCCGCTTTAGCCAAGGTGGTTGAAGGCGGAGGTGGGAACGGAGAACAAAGGCAGGACAAGGACTAAGCGCACCAGCCCTACCATTTCTAGTGCCCTTCCTACCCCTAACCCTGCAGAAGCAACAGCAAAAAGAACAAGAACAGGAGCAGGAACAGGGACAGGAACAGAAACAGCAACAGCACTTGACACACGCATTGATAATCTCGTTGTTTTCTTCTTTTTTCTCCGGGCTCATCTTGGGTAGCCGTGGTTCAAAACACGGCGTCCCCGTGGCACACGGCCGACACCAGTGACGTCCCTTGCGCCATAAAATTCCGAGGAAACACCATGTTGAGTGGCACCAAACATGCTTTCGCAGGGTTTGCATTTGGTGTCGAGAACGCCAGCAGTAAGCAATGCAAAAAAGAAGCGAAGAAGAACGTTTTAGCAAGTGCGGGGCAGCACCCAACGTCTTGCCGTGAATGTGTTCGCTCTGGCCAGCGCAGGAAACGTAAGCATGTTGGGCAGAAACGAAAGCATGTTGGGCAGGCACAAGGCAGCAAGCAAGGGATTTTCTGTGAGTGAAAGCAGCCGTGCGGGGTAGTAAACAGAAAGTTCCCTTGATCGCAGCAAGCGGAAGCTCAAACAGGGTTGCCTTGAACGTTGTCACAAGCACTCTGGCAAATGTATTCACGGCACTGCTGCACATTTTGTGTAACAACCTGAAATTTGGCATCCTGCCAGAAAGCCAGTAGAAGTGATTCACTTTGGTGGTACAGGTCCTTTGGATGTTCTTGGACAAGACCCTCTACTGAACGAATATTTCGCTAAAAGCCGTTGACCAACCCCCAAGCCGTCGCGCCTCATCGTGACAGCCCGCCACCTGCCGAGAGACAAGAAACAACTCCTTGCTGGGTGCGTGTCGCGTTTATGGCTCGCTGCGTGCAAGGAGAACAGTGAGCTCAGCAGCGTCACCACTACTTTCGGCCGATCTGATACTGACAGGAAATGACCAACAACAGCTCCGAGGGAAGTGCGCAAGGCGCCAAAAAGAGTTGCACAAACAACGTGTCATGCCTTTCCGAGCCAGCCGCCCAGGCCCGTGGTGAACGACGCAACACCAGCCAAAAACGCGGCCATGAGCCGACTAAAGCCATTGAACCAAAAAGCCGCCAGTGTCCTATCCTGGGTATGTGTTTTTTTTTGGGGGGGGACCCTTGGGTGGATTGACATGGGGTTTTATGCTCACCAAGTGCAAGTACTGTCGAGGGTGCTCCTCATTTAAATGTGCCAAGGCCTCGCAGCTGCCCTAAATCCTCCAGGCCTTTTCGTCCCACACAAGCAGCCAGAGTGGTCTTACGGCCGGGCCTGGCTTGTCTGTTAGAGCCAACGAAGCCATTCCCGAAAGATGAGCTCCTTACGCTCCTGTGGAAAACTGCACGTCTAGACCTAGCAAATGCTATTTTAGCACCTAGGTGAGAAAGCCGGGTTACGCCTCCTTGACTCCTTGACGACTCCATTGCTTGCATTGCTTTAGTGCTTTGCTGGGCACCCATCTGTCCTGAACAAGGCGGCGCCCACTAACTTGAGGCTAGAAAAATTCAGACTCGCGTGGTCAGAAGTCGCCTTCTGTCCTTAAGCTTGTGGCTCATGGCTCAGGAAGCAGCAGGTGGCGGTATGGCCCTGCACGGTGGTGCGTTTTTGGTCCACGCCGCCCAGCGCGATTCCCGGATGCGCCACCTCCCCGCACACATTTACGCTGACCACCTTGACCAGGGGTTGCAAAGTTCGCTGGAACATCCAGCCACTGGTTTAAGGGCAAACCACGGAAAGCTTGCTTCAAACGTCCCACGTTGGTATTGGTGTTTAAACCAAGCAAAGTTCATTTCAGCAATACTGGTTTTCCCCATTTGACAGGGAGCCGCACAACTTTATTTTTAAAAAAAAGAGCATGAATCGCAGTTCGCCTGGACTGACGGATCAAAGGCCGCCGACACTTCCTCCACCCCGAACTCCTCCAACTCCGCGTGGTCCGACCAGGTGTGGCAGGCGTAGATCATGGCCCCGAAGGGCCGCAGCGAGGGGTCCGCCAGGGTCATGCGGGCGCCCCTGTACCTCTGCAGCATAAGCTGCAACTCCTCGCGGCCCTGAGCAAAAGCGAGACTTGGAGAGCGGGGGGTACCCCCACCGGCCCGGATGGATGAGGTTTTTTTGTTTTGTGCTTTCCTTCTCTCCCTTCTTGTTGCACGGGCTCCAGGCAAAATAGGGGGTCTCTGCATTTGCTACAGCCCACCTTTGACGGTGCAAGTTCAAATTAAAAATCTCCTGATTTGGATGTGCATTCCAAAAAAGGACCCTTCGGTGGGCATCCGAGGGATGGTTCACCTGTTCGGCCTTGGTGTTACCATGAAAATGCCATGGCCTTTAGCTTGGTTTTGTCTTTTCGGCACTCTTGGTTTTCCAACTTTGAAGCAAAGGAAAGGGGCCCCAGTTCTGCCGCCAGACAAGGGTGCCTCTCCAGCTGGACCATTGGATGATTTTAAGGGCCAACCACCTGGAGGGATTGGTCCCTAACTTGGGGAAACCAGTGCTTAAGCAATCTCAAACAGGACCAAGTTTGAGCCCTTTTTTCCGGGCACCCTTGGCCGGTCGTCAAAATTGAAACCATTCGGGTCCCTAAAAAATGCCCCTTTTTAAGCTTTCGGCCTGGCGCTCGTCAAAGACGTGGACCTGGCACCGCAGCCACCGGGGGCCTACTCGCGGAGGCACCTGCAGAAAAAAACTGTGCAGAACATGAAAGGCAGCTATGGTGTTTTTTTTTGGTTTGTTTGGACTTCTTGGCTGACTGTCTAACTCTGTCTGTCAAAGTCTATGTCTGCCTCTGTCCAACTCTGTCTGACTCTGTCTGTCTCTGTCTGAGTTTGTTTGTTCGCGTTTGTTTGTTGTTTGTGCTTGTGTTTGTGTTTGGGTTCTGCTTGCTTGCTTGCTTGCTGTTCTCCCTGCCTGCCTGCCTGCCTGCCTGCCTGCCTGCCTGCCTGCCTGCCTGCCTGCCTGCCTGCCTGCCTGTCTGTCTGTCTGTCTGTCTGTTTGTCTGTGTGTTTCCTTGTTGGTTTGTTTCGTTGGTGTTCTTTCGTTTTCCTGCTGGTTCCCCTTGGACCGACCTTCACAGGAAGGTACATGCCGACATGACTGTTGGGAGTTTGGGGTTTGCCAGAAAATTGGGGGGCATGTCCTTTGTGGGGTTGGGCAGTGTTTGCAGAGAAGCCGCCGAACAAAAAGGGATACCGGGCCCTTCGGCCGAAGGCCCTCCGATTCGTCCAAGGCCCCCCAAAAAAAGGATTGCGCTTTTTGTAGGGTAGGTCTTCCCTTCAATCCCGCATTGCGCTCCTGGATTGGTAGGGAGCAAAACACACAAAACAAAAAAGGAGCGCAAACTGCCCGTCCTTCGCCTCAAACCTTTTGGGAGGCTTCGGCGCCCGTTGCTGTTCCCCCCGCCTGCTTCAGGTTCTCCCGGCGGATCACCACGCCACCCCCGGGCAGAGGCTCCAGCGACCTCACCAGCCAATCGGAGGGCGCCGCCTGGCGGCGCAGAGACGCGTAGCTGGGCGCGCGCTGCGAGGAGCCCCAGATGTCGTCGTAGACCTGCGGCCCGGGAGGCTTGGAAGCTGAGTGGAAATCAACGACATGGAAGAATGGGGTTGCCATGAGAATCAATAGCCCAAGACAAACCTTAAAAGGGACCTGGTGCAAAGGGGGCGGAGGGACCTGGTGCAAAGGGGGCGGTTGACTAGTTGGGCTCCCCCTTTCCCACCTTAAGGAAATCCATACCCCCCCTTCCCCTTCCCCCGCAGCTCCCGCGACCTGCCTTGGACTTGTCCGGGTCCAAGGGCTTGGGCGCCTCCAAGCCCAGCAAGAACCCGCCCTTCTCAATTAAGAGCTGCTGCAGGGGCGTGGCCTGGCTGCAAACCTGCTGCAGCATTTCCGCCGCGGGGTGGGACTCTTTCTCGTCGTCGAACTGCATGGTCTTGATCATCTGCCCATCCGCCGCGGTGACCCGCAGCTCGGGCCCCACACGGGCGCTGCCGGCGCAGACCACGCTGTGGATGGAGACCTCGGCGGGCAGCAGCAGACCCGCCACGCCCGTCATGTCGTCCGACTTCTCCCGGCTGAGCTCCTGCCCCGCCACGGCCACCCGCCGCCGCGAGGGCAACAAATCGGCAGCCACCGCCCCACACTTCACAGCCTGGGGGAAGGCAAGGTCCAGGGCGCTCAAGACGGTGTTCACCACGTACTTCGAGGCCAAGGGGTCCACAAATAGCAGGATGCCCTTCGGCTGCGGCGAGCCCTCCACCCCCAGGAAATGCCGCCAGGCCCTGGGCAGGGCGCCCTCCTGCGCCCCCTGCACTCGGGTGCTGCCCTGCATGCGGCACACCAGCCCCGAGATCTGCTGCAGCTCCTTTTGGCCCACGAAGAAGCTGGTCGCCTGGCTTGGAACAAGCCTGGCTTTTAACGGGACTATTTAAACTCAAACCACCATGGTTCAAAGCTCAACCAACCGCCTTTAGACTCCCCTGCTAGGCAACCAGGATGTTGTTGAAACAAATCTTGCGCCGCAGTTGCCTTGTGCGCATGTTTGTCGTGGTCGTCCCTCTGCCCCCGCCCGAAGCGCGTGGGGAGCTTCACTGCAGCCATCTGAATCACCGGGCTTCCGCTGCCATGGATGCGCTTGTGATCTGTGCCCGGCCCCCCGCACCCATTCACAGCCGCACCCAAGCAAGCGCCATCTGTCCCCAGGTTCCGGTCCAATGTCATGGTGATGTCGACTACAGAGGCCGACTCGTGACCACTCACGTGCACCAAGCAAAAATCCCAGTGATGGTTCGACCGGCTGCGCAGTTGGTAATTCGCTTCGGCAATTAGCTCTGCCACCGCTGCTCTCCAGTCAGTCGCAGTAGACACTGCAGAGCAAAAAATTGGCGAGTCCCGGGCCGAGCAAAAGGCGGCTCGTCCCGCACGCGCGGACGAGGCTTGGCGATGTCTGGCCAAGCCCAGTGCCACAACCGCCGCGCCGGAAATTCGGTGCCCGCCAGAAACGGGAGGCCCGGGCGCATCATGATGACCGACTCTTCGGGCCTGGCCTCTCACTTTGATCGAGGCACATGGGGCGCGTGAGGCACATGAAGCAGCTGGGGCACTGTGCCTCGGGGCAGAGATCATGAGACCTTGCAAGCCATCAGCACCTAGAGCCAGCGGCGCGTTGTGAGCCCAAGCCTTGACGTAAAGAAAGGTTGCAAGGGCCCAAGCAGGAAAATTCCACCGGCATGCTCGCACTGACCCCGGTGGCAGTGGACAAATTAAACGGCCTGCCTCCAACTCAATCGTGCACAGCCATTGCTTGCAACCCCATCTTGTTTCCTTGTTGAACCACTGGTTTCTGGGGAAGGTCAAACCTGGGCCCTTCGACGACTGACTTTGAGAAAGCAGGTGATGAATTGCCGTTGGGGCGCGGGTCTCCAAACAGCCGCATGTAGATGTGCAGGCCATGCCCCTGTCTGCTGCCTACCTAAGCTGATTCCCTTGTAGTCAGGCCACCTTGTTACGGGTCACGAATTCTATCGCGGCGTTTTGTCTACTACTAATTGTTAGTGGCCTTGTCTTTTTGTTGTTGCTTTTGGTTAAAGGGACTTGGTGGGCTCCATTACTATTAGTGGGACGGTATTGAGTGCAAGGTTCGCTTGGACCGAGAGCATTGGCCAACAAAAGGTGATGCTTGAAGCACCCCAAACAAAAAAGTGGAACCTCAACCACATGCCCAAAAACACACATGGCTGCCCCCGCCAAATACGGAGAAAAACATGGAGAACCCCCCCCCCGCCGGAAAAGCTTCTGAAGGAGTCTTAGAAGAACCGCAGTACTTGGACTAAATCTTTCTGGGGGGCCTTGGGATCCTAATGTTTCTTCTGAATGCTTGCAATCAGCGGTTTCCCATGCGAAGAAGATGTGCCCTTTGGCAGGTTGAGTTTGAAGCTGGGAGAGACACTGAACAGTAAAGTCCACCCACCAGAAAGGTTCAATCCGGGCGACCCTGGCTTCCCCTTACAACGTCTCTTCTTGAATGGATTGGCCAAAGGAAGTCTAGACTTTCTTCTTAACACTGCCACCTTCACCAAAGGTCCAAACACTTGGGACCCAAACCCCAACACCCCAACATGTCCTTGCGCGTTTGCTACACATGTTCTTCCCTAAAAGGTATCTGAAGTCCCGGAACTCATGGAGCGAGTTCCGGAGACACAAGGATAAAAACAACGACGAACCACCCAACCCCAAACCCCACCCCCCCATTCGCCTCAACACCTACAAGTAGCGCCCCGCAATTCCCACGTCTTCCCCCCCCCCAGCAGCTCGCAGACGAGTCAGGCCGGCGGGTCCCAAACGCCATGTCTCCGCCTCCGCCAGGCGCCGCAGCAGGCCACAGCTTCGCAGCTCCGCCGCCAGAGGCTGCAGCTCCGGCGACCCCAGCGCCGCCTTTTTGCCGCGGAACCGGCGAAGAGGTCGCTGGATTTCCCCGGGCGAGGTGAGGGGGTCTGTTGTGTCTGTGTTTGGTGTGCGTGTTTAAAAAGGAAACCAACAGGACGCGTTGCTTGTGTTTGTGTTGTTTTGTTGGGGGGGGATTCTTGAGACCCCAGTGAAAGGCCCAAGGAAAATAAGAGGAATGATCTCTCCCCGCGCCGTTCTAAAGGGACCCACTTCGTGAAACGTAACCAAGAGATCAATGTTGGATGATGTCGGAACGCGGTTTCCAGCGTCTTCGCCCGAGCAAAATGAGAGAGAGAGAGAGAGTGGGGGTGACGAAAAACAAAGAGCAAAGAAAAGGAAGCAGGGATAACACGTCACCAGGCAGAAAAGCCACCGCGGGTAAAAATGATACAAATGGAAAACACCAGGAAATGCCAATAAGAAGGCAAGAAGTATGCCAGGGAAAGGTTAAAACAAGCCCCGCAAATGAAAGACAGCACAAGAAACAAACAAGGAAAAACAAGGAACGAAAAGTCAGAAACATCGAAGAGGCAGACAAATAAGGAGCTGATTGGGCGAGCTAAGAAACACTTTAGAGAAAAATGCGACATTGGGTGGAGGCTCCTTGCAGCTGGTCCTGTTTTAACTCTCTCCTAGCAAGGCACGGGGGGGAGGCACATTCGACGTTGACGCGAACACCGGCCTGGAATGGATGCCCAAACTCGATGCTCACGTTCACCAAGTCGAACTCGCCCAGGAGCCGAGAGTACACGTCCTACATGAAGATGACGAAAGAAAGAACAAGGGCAGTCTGGCATCCGAAACCTGCGCGCATTCACACGTTCAGCTAAAACGTAAACCAAGCAGCATACACGTTTCTTCAAGGGCCCACTGAGCAAAGTATACAAACTGGGGATAAAATGTGGCCCGTCCTCGCTCAGGAGCTCACCCGCTCCCAGCACCTGTGAGTGACCCATCAATGCAGCTTTAGAACTGCGACCTCATGACAGCCTGTTCGGTGGGTGGCATACCTTCGCTCTTGTCATGAGGCTTCGGCCCTTCGCAAAAGAGTCAGCGATGCTTGGACCACCCGGAGCCGCTCCCTCTGCCTCACAAAGCCACTTTTAAGCATGTGGCTTGCCGGGCAAGGCAGGCAAGCGGACGAGCTGCAATGCAAATGGCGTGGAGATGGGGCGAAGCCGGCCATGAATCACCCGAAGCACAGGACTCCAGAGTCGTCATGGATCCCTTGGTTTTGTACAACCTCCATTAGGGGGCGGGTGACCATCCCTACCAACCCCAGGCAAAGGGTCTTTGCCTCGCCCGCTCGCGCAAAGCGCGCCTGTGCGGGCAGCGTGGCAATCGGTCCCACCGCTCGTTCTGGCAGGTCAGCAGCTCGGCCTCAGACTTGGCGCGCGGTACACCAGCCTTGGCCGCCTGAGTGGAAACCTGGTACCCGGTAAAGGAGTCTCCCGCGAAAAAAAACGCTTAAAAGATCAAACTTGAGACTGTCCCTTACTGACCTTCGCTTGCCAGGCTTGGTTGTGGCTCACCTAATGTTGAGACTGCCAATTTGTTTTGGGAGAATACCGTTTGGCTTTCTGGTCCCTAGCACATTTGCTGCCTAAGCAGTCGCCACTAGACAATTGTGCATTGCTTGTCCACGTCACTAGGGTTGGTTCGGCACTTCTTCAAACGCAGCTTTCACAGCCTTGTGGTTGGGTGACCCTACATTGGGTGCTGGCAGGCAGGTTCACGTATAGATTATTGTCATTCTGTGCAGGCTGAAACTGGTGGTTTGTGCCCAGTTGAGCTCATGCACTCTCCCGCTGCGTCAGCTGCAAGCTTCCGGTGACCTGGAAGAGGAATAGCAGCACGTGCCCCCGTGTCAGCAGGTGCCGAGGCATGTGATTCTGGGATCACCTGTCGCGCATCACGCTGAGGCGCCAGCCAGCACCCGTCCTTCCGGCACATTCCGGTGCTTGACCTCCGCAAGTCTGCACATACCGAGTAGCTTGCCTTCACATGTCATGTCCCTTTCCTTTGGTGCCCAAGAAAGTTCCTTTCTACACCCCTGATCCCCATACAAAAAGAATTAAACATCCCCCGTTAAAACGGACTGCCGCCGTTCTTGTCGACTGGACTGCATCTGAACTGCTACTGTGGCCTCAGTTTTTGTTGGACTCAAGCCGCTGATGCCCATCATCTTCTCAAGTCGCGGCCTGGCAAACTGCCCAGGCCAGCGCCCGGGCTGCAAGCAGCAGGTTTTCATGGTGCCGCCGGGCCTCAAGTCGAAGGTCGAAGGGTGGGCCTTGGATCCCTGAGGGTTCAGCATGTTGGCTGGAAAATTGCTTCAGGAATGGTGTTCTGGCTTTTGGGTGGACATCAGCTGCCCAGGGAAATGTAGGTCTATGTTAGGGTTATCAACACATGAGCTGGTCATCCTTCCCTCGACACTGCTGCCCCCTCCTCCCTTTTCAATGCAGAGCCGCTATGAGATTGCAGGAGTCTCACTGCAAATAGGTCCAGCTTGGCTCCATGAGCATCTGTACAATGACTGTGTGGCTGCCCCCTTGGAGCGTTGAAGACATGGCCTGCAATGCCAAAAGGCTTACGTTGGGCTCCTGTCTTCCCAGTCCTGCAGCCTTCCTGGCCAAAAAAACTCAAACCTGCACACGCCGACGCCGGTTTCGGCTCGGCCGCGCTGTGCGGCGAACTGTCGGTGTGCTGCCGACATCTCGCGCACCGGCGGCGCAGCAACTGTCCCTGAAGCAATCTCACTTGCGCTTGTTGAAGACAATGCCCACCTAACATGCGATGCGATCCGCTCCCATCTTGACCAAAAAAATGGCTTGAAGTCGACAGTCGGATGCCAAGCGGCTGAAAAGCGCTCTCCATGGACCTCCCTGACCTGAGCTCCGAGTTCTCGCTCAGACCCCGGAACTCCCCCATGCCGAATGCAACAAAACTACGTCCAGAGGCCTTCTACTGAGGCCGTAAGGCGAGCTCGGAAGGCTCATGCTGACTGATTTTTTCCTTCTGGGGATTTCGGAGAGGCTGCCATGACTGAAACAACGGGGGGAGCCCTGGGTAGGCCACGGAAAGAAACCTGCCGGTGCAGCTTGGGATGGCAAGGCGCTCCGTGCTTGAAGTCGGCCCCTGGCACTGCGCTGCGGTTGGCGGCGAAGATGGTGAGGTCCCCTTGGCCCATGGCGACTTCGGCCACCTGGCAGATGGATGTGTGCCTTTTGGGGTACCTCTGTTCGGGGGAACATTTTGACGGAACCAAAAGAAAACCACTCATGTTGGGGGGCCCCTGTTTGGGGTAGGTGTGGGGTATGTGTCAAAGTGGTGATTTTGACCCTCATGCTGGGCGTCGGTGTCCCTTTGCGTTTTCCTTTCACAGCTAGATTTGGGCACCACCAAAAGCAAACGCTCGCCCGATAGAACCTGGTCTATTGATTGGGAGGTGCTTCCCCCAGTGAAGGATTCTGTCTGAAACGACGCAAGCGCTCCCTAGTCAACGAGGCTGCTGAAACGTGAACACAAGACATGTGATCAATGTCACTCAAGCCATGTGATCAATCAAGCCACTTGTTGGAGAGACCCTGGCAAACTGCCTCTCCGCTCTTGATGTTTTTCACGAAGAACTCGCCGCCTGTGTAGTCTGTACCTGCAACTGCCGACTTGCCCAAGGCTGACGCCGAAAAGCCGCAAGAACTGTTCGATAGAAAACCCCTCAAACATATTTGGCGGACACAAGTCCCCACGTCAATGATGTTGTTCAAAGGTGCCGGGTACCCAATTGAACTCCCTTGCTGAACTGGCCTCGGATGAGACCCTAGTTTGGACATGCATACACCCAGGTCGAATTCTATGCCCAATCACACCACTGGGGTGCACCACGCTTGCTCAGCATCAGCACCGCTTGGAACGGGAAGAAGAGCTTTCCATATGGGTCCTCCCGGTTGCTCATTGAAAAGCCGTGATGGCTGCCAGGGTTTATTCACGCAAACCCGAATTCGCTGGGAAGCCATACCTCTCCTGTTGGCTGTATGCAGCTAAAAGGCTAAAAGCATGGTTCTGAATATGTATGTATACATAAGCAAATATATTTATGCAATAATCCATGTATCCAATATATTGATGCATGACCAGATGTATCCACATCTATATATATATGTGTGTGTAGCTTGGAGCCGTTAGGCGTACACCTCAAGCGGGTTCATGACAACAGCCTCCACTCTGTGCCACAAGCCTGCACACCGAGCCCTGCAGGGCTCTGAACCGTCCTGGTGTGCCAAGTTCTCGCCACCCTGGCGCAACGCCCTATGCCCCACCAACTACCCGGGCTCCGTAGCCCTCCGTTTGATCGCGAGTTTCATTCCTGGCCATCCTTGCTCTATTGACGACCTGCCCCCTGCACGAGACCCATGCATCATGCGCTCAACATGCCAAACAGCAAATGCGGCCATCACAGCGAGCTTGAAAGCCACGGAGAGTGGCACGACCTGAAGACGTTCGGCCTCACCGAAAGCGAGGAAAATGGTGGCGCAGCGCTTCCTTGGCTCGAGCCCTCAGAATGTCGAAAGCCCTCCCTGTGAATTCACATGCAGCCGTGCCAATGGTCGAGCACAAACATTATGAGTGCACTTCACGCTGACGCCCACGGGGACTGACTCAGCAACTGCGCATGAAACGGGGATCCAGTGTCCTCCTTGGTGCCTGAGAGCTCCCCCCGATCATAACTCTCACAAAGGCATGTGTGTGTGAGGAAACCAGCAGAGTCATAACATCAGAAAACCTGGTGCCGCTGAAGCAGCAAAACCATGCAACAAATTGTGAGGGCGGCCGCGCCTATGTTGGTTAAAACTGCCCTCTAGCTTACGTTTTGGTTGGTGAGGACAGCATCCGAGAACAATCAAGCTGTCAACCGTCAAATTGTGCTGGGCCATACCCACGCCTCTCGAAGATATCAAGAGATCCCTCGTTTGATGTGTACATAAGATCACTCCTTCCTTGGTGGTTTGCTTTGGTGGCTTTGCAAGGTGCCTTCCCCATTTGGTTGCAACATTAACTGGAGTTCAGACCCCAACTCCAAAAAACCAAATAACTACCTGAAGACACACACACACACACACACCGCTGTTGCCGCCCGCTGCCCCCCGCCCATCGCAAGCCGCAACACGCGCTTCACCTTTCTCCGTTTCGCCGGTTCGCCGAGGCGCTGCCCCGAGGAGCTGCACTTCTTCCCAAGCTCCGCCACCGAAGGGCCGAACTCTGCGGCGAGGCCAAAGTGGCTGCAAAGCACCGCCTCTCGTGCGAACCACTCGGGCGGGGGCGGGGGCGGGGGCGGGGGGCAAGGCACCGGGGAAAAAGGCGGTGGCGGGTGGTTCCCAAAATATGGCCATTAGGCCAACCCAAAGGGTGGAAGGAGGGAAAAAAATGAAGAAAAAAAACACGAAAAGGTCGGCCGTTGAGTCTCAAAGTTCACAGCTGTAGGAGGAGCACATTGGTCGGAATCTCCTTCTTGCAACCTAGCCGCATACACTGAACTCTTGATTGCCTCCACCACAGGTGGCGCATGCTTGCAGAAGTAGTATGCGCCATTGTGACCAGCCTGCCAGCTGCATTTCAAGGCACAGGGCGGATTCAACCATTTTTGGGGCAGGAATGGCCACGTAGCATTGCTTGTCATTTTCGCCTCCCAGCTGACCTCGCACCCTTTCGAGTCGACCCCGGATTCATAAACCTCGCGCAGTGTTGATAAAGTGCCAGGCACTCCCAAAAGCGAAGAGGTCTGAAAACAAGACACTCACACCTCCTGACTCTGTTCGCAGATGTTCGCAGAACGGCACCTATCTGCATCGCGTTCTTCTTCCACCCGCCTCGCCCTCCAAGTGGCGCACTTCCGGGAAGCTCGTGTCTTCGGCCAGCTTCAGCAGCGCAGCGCACTCCTGGCGAGCGAAGCGCGCTAGGCTGGGCCGGAGGCAGAGCCAAGAGCCTAGGAAGTTCGTCGCTACTCTGGTGCCCTCCTGGACATGGAGAAGACAAACACCAGCGAGTCCCCTCAGAATTACGGAGGCCCCCTCATGTCCCCAAATGGAGCAGAGGCAAACCTCCGGCCAGTGGATATTTTCACCAAACCGACCAGGGGCGCCTGCGGCCGCAAGAGCCCACGAAGGCGGGTGGCACCTGGCCGGCAGGGCTGCTATGACTGTTCTTTCTGATGGCCCGTGCAGCTGAGGTTCAAAAAACAAAGCAAACAAAGCAAACAAGAAACCAAAGCGGCACCGCCCACTTTTGGTGTCACTTGTTTCTAGACAAGCCCAGCTCAGCAAAACCACACTTCATTCAACTCTGGGCCAGAAAGGTGAACGATGAGGCAAAACGAGGCAAACGGAAAGCCTAAGGCCACACCCTCTCACAAGCATAGATGCAAACACACACACACACAAAAGAAGAAATCCGGAAGGGCTCTGTGCACCACTCCATTGCAAACAATAGACGAAAATGCGCCCGTGCATCGAAGGCTTCCCATTGGCCGCCGGTCAGAATCTCGATTTGCAGAAGCTTCTATCAAAGGGATTTTTTCTCGGACGCTACACACATGGTTGTCCTTTGGTGTAAGTTGAATCCAAATTGGAAAAAGCCAACGTTGAGGCCTTCGGAAGCGACATTGACCCCCTGGTGTCCGCTGCTTCCCCCTCCAGGGGGAAGAAATCTGCACCCCCGGTTTCAAGTGGCGCAAAGCTAGGAATTTGTGTTCCGACTGAATTCTGAGCCCGCATCAAACCTTCAAACAGCCTTCCATAGAAGTGCCTCCCTCAGTTGACTGGCTAGCACAAGTTTAAACTTCGGACAATGATCAATAAACCTGGCAGCCAAGTGTTGTTTTCAACTGAACAGGTCCGATGAAACCTGGCAGCACCATTCAAAAAGCCAGCCAGTTCCACAAAGGACCCAGTTTGAGGCTCCAACCTAGATGAAACCTGGCAACCCACAGTTCGATTTTTGAGGCGGAGCTGCGGTGAGTGCAAAGTTCCGAAATTTCGCCTTGGTTTTCCAGCTCCTTCAGCTTCTTGGGCGTGAGCGCCTTGCGCACCCGTGGCTGCACCTTGGGCTCAGCAAACGGCCATGACGCCGCTGAGATCTGCATAGGCGAAAGAAAAAATGGGCAGCCGATCTCTGAACATGGGGAAGCCCATGAAGTTGGTCAGGCTTTGTACATGTTGAAAATCCACTTGGCGTGGTTCACTTGCAACTTCCGTGCCTAAAGTCTCCC